GGTCTCTATCGTCATTTTGGCGTATATATATACACATTGAGCTTTTTAAACACCTCATTTGTCCTCAATTTTTATTATGAATTAATACAATGACATTGTGATTCAATTTCATGGATGCAAACATTAATTGTGATATCACATAATGTTTATATCATTATCTCGTGCTTTGAGTGCCCATTATGTCCCACATCTGACGATAAAGGATAAAACACACGGCCGAAAAACTTTTCTCATAAAAAGCGTTGATTTACAAAAAAAAATTATGTAGCTGAGCAGGGGGGGGGGGGGGTCGACCCCCCAAACCCTCTGGGTCCGCCCCTGGTCAAGCTGACGCAGCATTTGTTTGAATTAAGATGTTCACTGTATTCCGAAATTACACCAGGTAAACGGCACGAAACCTATCAACCCATGATTCAAAACGCGCCAATGCGCCCCTTCTCTTAGCCCCTACGATTGGTCTCTTTGTGTAATGGATAAGGCTTGTGTTCGTAGTGGTGTTAATTGGTGTTAAGTTTAATGACTTTACCAGAGCTTCTCAATTTAACATATAGTATAGTGTATACACGATAATAACTTTTGCCATGTTTTTAGTATCAATCAGGGTGGTTCAGTGCTCATTAAGCCAGGGCATCCGGGGCCCGATCCCCGGTGATGGTCGAAGCGTGGTTTCCCCTAGTCAGTGGGTGCAGGGCGGAGGGCCTTGCAAAAGACAGTATCTATAGTCGTACGGATGGGGCTAGAATCCCAGGTCTCGTGCACACGTTGGCGTACACAGAAAAGAACCTTGGCAGATGAACTTCGAAATTAGAGTAGACCGCCCAAAGTAAAACCCCATTTCTTTCCATTTATTATTATCATTCAAGTATCATGTAAAAAGAAATAATATTTGACAACGCTCCATTTCTGATTTTCTTTTCATTTACATTTATTTTCTTAAATCTAGAAATTGATAATGAACACAATAGGAAAATGAAGAGCTCGATATAAGTTAGTATTTGGGTAAACAAAAGTAATTTATGTGGTGTAAATATATTCATTTTTAACACAACCTCAGATCTTAACTCAGATTGATTTAAAATAAAGATGTGTAGGATGGCATAAATTTACAAGTGACAATGCGTTTATCTGTATAGAATATTTGTAAAATGATTTACTATCCTCATGGTTAATAAAACAAGATTTAAGAGTTTAAATAATTTTAATTGAATTGTTATTTAGCCTAAATATGAGACACCATAGATATTTACAGATAAATGTTCCTGTGCACAAACAGTTGGTTATTTCATGGACCTTATACATGTATAAAGTCTATGGGTATTTAAAGGGGAAATATGTGTCTGAAACCTAGTGTTAAAGATACATTATGGGAGATTAGATAAAGAGCTGGTAGTTCTCACTATTATAGTTAAAAACTATATAATGCAAAAGGGGATTTGCTGAAAATTTCAGTCAGATTGAGCCACCCTGAACCGAGTATTTAGCGATTGAATGTTGGGCTTAGCCTCGATCATCATTACTTAAGTCGGTACGATAAAAAATATTGTCTCGATTATCCACTTTTTGAATTAATCAGAAGCAGCAGACCGGGGTCTAATCCAGTAAATATTGCAGGCTAGCGATGCCATCGAGAGTTGATTATGGTCTGGATAAGTTATTAATGTCTAATTAATAATTTAGATAACATTTCAGGCCTAAAGAAAGACCTGCAATTGACAGATTTAGCTCTTGCATAATATATGTTTAATATCATTTAACTTATCAATCTAAAAAAGAATGACGCCATATTCGATGCATATTATTTCGGTATGGACGAAATGAAATGAAATGAAATGGGGTTTAACGTCCTACTGTTCTGCTTCTAACCTGGGCTAATGAAGACGGGCATACGCCATACAGTGTGCTATGAAGGAAATTTTGCCAGGGCAGCGGCGCTACGGCCTACTCTTATATCGAATTTCAACTGCCAAGGGATCTTTTACGTGCACGCCAATGTGTAGGCCTACACGGGACCTCGGTTTTTCGTCCCATCCGAACGACTAGACAGCTGTCCTTGTCGGGCCCTCCGCCCTGCATCACTGACAAGGGGAAACCGCGAAGGCCAACGCCCACAGTGCGCAGTTTTTAACGGGTGGTACTGCAACCTTTGCATTCTTATTTATTATACCCTAAGGACGATCCATAGTGTTTTGGGTCCACATGACCTAATCGGGTGTGGAGTTATTTGTGAATCACAGTACCATCTTCACAATCTAAGCGTACTGCATCATTAACCCTTGATATTGTGAAGATATTATTATAACTACGTGACCTTAAACACTGTGTATAATTAAAGTCAATTGTTTTTTTTACTTCAGCCACTAAAGCGTCGACAAGAATTTTCAAAGTGATCAAGGGACATAACTCTGGCAGTATTTATTGGAAATTGTTGAAAATCAATAGGCTTTTTCGTCTTATGGCGGTAAACACTGTGTATAAATTTGAAGTCAATGGGATGTTCACTTCATCCTCTAGATCGCCCACAAGATTTTTCAAAGTGATCAAGGGCCATAACTCTGGCAATCATTATCGAAAATCAATAGTATTCTTCTTCTCATGACGTTAAAAACTGTGTATAAATTTAAAGTCAATCGGATATTAACTTTAGTCTCTAGAGCGTCCACAAGCAATTGTGGGGGCCGGACGGGCGGGGGCTATGGAAATGCGAGCAAATTTCACTGAGGGCGTATATAAAATTAGTGGAACCGCGGTAGTTTTGATTTATGTGTGGCGGCTGTGGCATCCATTATATATAGCGTGCCTATAATATTATAGACAAGTAGAACAATCGGCTTTTTTAGGCGGGGGTGGGGAATTCGAAGAAAAGGTGGAAAACCCATTGCCAGCCATAACCAAGTAAAGATACGCGCATTTTAGTCTCAAAACGACCCGGATAAAAGGTCGACGGGGCATTAAACCAGATATGGTTCCATTCCATTTGAAAGGTCCACATCCCTGTTCATATGAATTCGAAGACATGAAACAAAGACACTGTGATCATGTTATCACCAAGCGTGTGAAACAAATGAGGTTTCTACACGTTCCTATGACGTATTAATGTCTTATCAAAATTAACAAGTTTTATTTAATTACTAGTACGATGTTATCAGCGACTAGGGCGGTGAAATGGGATTTAAATGTGAAATGCGAAACTCCTTTGTTAAAATTTAATTTTCTTGTACATCTTGGAGCTTAGTGTAAACTTATTACCGTGTTAATTATCGTGTGGTAACTTGTAGTGTTATCTGATATATTTAATGTTATTGATAAGTATAATCGGCTTTACTTATCGCAAGGCAATTTCATTATCACTTTCCATCATCTAATCCTTTAAGATTATTTTGTTTTATTTTTTTGATGTTTAGTGTGTGAACTTCGTCAAAACGAAAACAATGTTGACCTTTTGGGTATATAATCAGGTCATATAAAGCCATAAAGAACTTTCATTGCATTGTGTTATAATTTCATTCCACATTTGTAGTTGTCTAAATTTATGCGACAGCTTATATAGATGTATTACATCAACATTCTGGGTTGGGTTTTTTTTTTACATTAACTGAAGATATTTTTTTTATTTGGAATGAGACCAAAAAAGAAACCCAGAGATAACATAAATTGGAAAACACAACTTTGAAAAGAAATTAATTTTACACTACACTCAGGTTATGACCAGAGAAGTGATAAGAGATATTTTTTTTTTTGAGGCACTTCACAAAAAAAAGGGTTCCATCAGTTCCTGATTCATACTGCCCCCTTTTTTTCGGGGATGCAAAATATAATGGGCACAGAATTCTAAGGTTTTATACACCATTTTGTAGAAGAGAAAACACAAATAATAACACAGTATTGGTTACAACTTGCGTCAGGTTTCAATCCAAATTCATCATTCCGAATACTTAGGGAGTGTCTTGCAATGTAGTGACATTAGGAACAGGGGCGCCGGAAAGGTGCAAGGGCCAGGGTACCAAAAGATAGGGGTGGGGGGTCTCTCTCCCCGGCCTCTGAAAAATTTTGAAATTTGTCAATTCCGAGAACGCTGTTTAGAGCACCTCTAGCATTCTAAATTCCAACATAAAACCCTTTAAAATACATGATAATGAAAGAGGCAAAGGCCTGATTATTCATAATTTTCATATCATGAGCAATTCATCTCGTAAAAGATTTAAAAATGAATAGACTAGTAAAAAGGTTGAAAACTTTCATCATTAGGGCATGGGTATACATGTATACCCCAGAAAAGGGCAGGGTACCATTTGTATACCCTGGTACCCGGGTTCTGGCGCCCCAGATGAGGAAGATGGACACCCGGACACCAGCCTAATGAGTCCACCTCGTAGATTTTTCTTCATTAATGAGCAGATCCTCAAAATTGTCTAGTCTAGCCAAACTAAGGCTTTTATTTTCAGGCCAGCCCACAGTATGCAGAAATGTATGAAAAAGATTGGCCAATAGCGTTAAAGTTAAAAACTCTAATTTATGCATACTGTCTTAATGTTCTTGCACAGGTATGATAGGAGGGGGGCCCAAAACTTTGTCTTGCTCCAGCACATAACAATTCTTTCGCGGACCCTGATTCTTCTGTTGTAAGTTGAAATAAACAGTAATTTAAATTTACTTGGCCAGATATGTATTTTGTTACCTTTCTTTCCAACTAGGTTTCATAGAACCTGGACACATTTTCAGGATGGGAGTGGGTTTATTGTTTATTTTCAGGATGGGAGTGGGTTTATTGTTTATTTTCAGGATGAAAACTTGCAATCGACATACAGTAACTTTGCAGACAAAAAGCGAGAACGAACACCCTTGCACCCCTTCTAGATCTATCTCTGATAAATATAAAATATTATTGTCTGGTGGTAATAAAGAATATACAGCTGTTTATAGTGATAATCATATGGTGTATTCCCACTGGTTGATCAGCTTATAGTAAGAGTATAGACAATATCCTACAGTTAAATCAATACTTATTAAACAATATCATACATTTAATAAAAACAATAACACATGCTATCTGAATACATATTCCTATTACAAAAACAATCTGATGCAACTTCACAGCAGCTCCACTCTTTTCCCTGAAAATCAAAAAATAATCTGCCTAACGGTACTTACTAACTATGTCATTGAAACTGGAAATCATTAAACTACCAGTTTTGTTTTTATGCAATATGTTAGTCCAGAAATGAACTAGTTTGTGTCAAGTGGACGTTAAACCCCATTTCTCTCTCACTTTTTAATATGTTCATGTATGCAAATGGGGAGGGCAGGAGGGGGGATTTTTTCCCAGATAGTGCTAACAGATTGTTTACACTACTAATAAACATATAATATGCAGGAGCACTTCATTTTCCAAAGTCCAGAATGTTATACGTTTCTGCAACCACCCTAACCAAGTGAGAACCAGGCTTGAAAGATCAAGAAGGCTAACTACATCTGCATATCCTAAGCATATTGTACCACATGAGTTATCTGCATGCAGATTGGTAACAGCATTTAAAGTTCAATATTCACACCAATTAAAGAGTTTGTTACAAATCACTGCATCTAGACAAATAAGGCTACCAAAATAATCCAGACTTTGTTTATCGTAACAACAGTAGTAATGACAATCAAGGCTAGATTATAATTGTAATGCCAATCAGAGTGAAGTAATTTGACTGAAATTTTTCAGTATATTCACGTTCCATTATCTATTTTTTAACTATTAAAGTAAGAACTGTCAGCTCTTTATCTAATCTTACCTAATGCCACTTTAAATTTTTATATTTTAAAATTTTCCAAAATTATCTGTCACACCTCAGGAACTGCACTGAGCTAGAATTTTCATAAAATTGACAGATATCTAGTTTATTTAGTATTACAAGTTGACCTGACTCTGATCAATCTAAAATAAGTGACTTTGAATATTTTAGAATGTCTGTTTTCCAGGATTAATCAATTTCTATTGAATATTTCAAATATGTCAAGTGAACAGCATTCAGCTGTAATAAGTTACACTGACAGATCAGAATATTTATATACTAGATACAAAAATTGACACACACTAGTTTTATTTACACTGATATCTATATATATTTGTCGTGACTGTTGGGTGTTGAGGAACACAGTAGAGCTGTCTTAGGTTGGTGACTGACATAGGTCTGATGGCATTACACTTCAGAGTTATACTACTTCTTGTAGGAATCTGTCTGTGCAACAGCGGAACCGATAAACCCCTAGTATAACATAAAATGAAGCTAAATAAAAACATTAGTAGGATAATATTTTATTATCGCCATAGTCTCGTAGTAACCACAGAAAATTGTTCCGTTTGACAACGTTCAGCATACGATTCACAAGATAGTATACTGAATCCCAAGATAGTATACAAAATGATAATAAAGATGTACTGCCATTCTTTCATAAAACAACAGTCATGTTGTATATGACATCATAACAACCATTCCGAGAATGCTTCATTTTTAATAAACTAAACTTTTGAAGATCATAAGAAATACAAAGTCACAATTAATCACAAATCCACACATCCAACCTTATAAATCAACTTGGTCCAGGACGAAGTTGCGATGTCACATGATCCAAAGGATGCCATCGTGACTGATCCATGGCATTGAAAAATTGCTGAAATAAAAGATAAATATATAAAAATTACATATTAGAGCCAGAGACTTTAGAGTAGAAAATGAAAGTTTTTATTTGGAACAATATCAACATTTCTTATCATAAATACTACAATTGTTAATAATGAATATTTACCTCACTGGAGAGCATAAATTCACGATTTTCTTTTTCTACATCCACTTCAAGTTGGGGATCTGAAGGACAAGAAAGACATAGACTTAGAAGTAAATATAAGTTAACAAGAGACTTATGTGATTATGGCATATTATGTGGAAAATCTCAAGTTCCATGGAGTCCCCAAAGATTGTTCATGTGGATGGAACTAAAAGCTGAGATACCAAATGTAAATTTAGTCAAATGTGCTAAAAGTAAACCAATATGTCAATTACAAACTTTTGACTGTTTGACAAGTCACCCCCCTTTTTAAAAAAATATCTCTAAGAACCAAAGCGGCCAAGACATTATAATGGTAAAACATGTATTTAATAAAATGCTGAACACCACACGATCATCCATGTTGTTGATCGTGGTGTTTACCATCCGTTTACATCGTAGGTTATATTGCAGACAAGTTGTCTTATTTAATTATCTTAGTCTTAGTGCACCCCTAAAGGTCTTTCCTGTGGGAGGAAACCAGAGTACCTGGAGTAAATCCTTGAGGTTGAGAAGGCCTCCCTATCTCAAAGCCACATACGCTCACACCAGGGATCGAAACCACGACTGCAAGCCAGAGGTGACCAGCCAGCTACAGCCCAAAACGTAACACTCTAGACCACTTGGCCATCCCAACCCTTCTCCATCATACAGCCAATAGGTAATAAACTTCAAGGGGATTCTCGATTGTCATTCGGAACGTTCAGAATTGACAGAATTACAATCGTGTGACTCAGAATTCAGTCCTGTCACAGTTCTCTCAGTCCCAATAACGGAGGTGGTGTGAGTAGAATCGTGACGTAATTAAGAACAACGAATAATATATTGTTTCAGGTGTCATGTTTGATTGATATATTTTCTCATGCAGTCGGCGCATGCATTCTAGCCCCAAATTCCCATTTTCACTCGATTGTCACTGTCTTGGGGTTTGACAGAATTCAATTCCAGAACAATCAATCGAGCATCCCCATTGTGGCTTGCAGATAAAGGGAGGTAACTCAATAACAAACCTTCAAGTTTCTCTAAATCATCTTCATACTGTGGATCATATTGTCCCTATAATTAGAGAAAATCCAGTTAAGAAGTAAGATAACAATAAAATTGTTTTTGATAATTTGATGAAAATATAAAAGTCATGGCTATGAATTAAAATTTAAACATAACAGCATGTAGGACAGCATGAAGCAGGTGTGAATTTAATTATCCCAGCATGAAACTTGAAATTTAACTTCATTTAATCACCACCAAGACATGTATTAGTCAATTCGTTGTTCTTAATGAACTGTCATTTTGCACAGCGGAGGACATTCAGATTTAAAGAAAAGTTTTAGAATATAAAATGGGCATTTAATATTTTCATCTCAGAGGGCATTCTGCCACGAATCAAAAAATTATGGATGGTGCAGTCTCAGTAGGACGTGGTGTTGTTTGGAAAGGGCGTGATAGAGTACCCTTCTAAAATAGCTTGTGGGTAATCCTATGAGCCACTTCTTTTACGAGGATGGGCGAATAAAATTTCAGTCGATCAAAAGACAAGTTATTTGCATTTAATGATAATATGGTTGTAATGATGAAAACTCAATTTAATATCTCTGGTTTTAGTCGATTCAACTGATTTTTCATTGGACTGATGCTAGTGGGGATCAGTCTTAACAATACAAAAATGTTCAGTTTCAATGACCACAAACCTGAAATAAGTTAATACTGTCATTAACATGTAATAGTTACATGTAAACACAACTAGCAGCCTTAAATCAAAAAACTGTTTGAATATATATACTGTTTACATGAAGAAAGAAAGAGAGAGAAAGAAATGGGGTTTAACGTCCAATCAACACAAACTAGGTCATTTCGGGACTAACATATGGTTCAATTTTATTTCAATAATTCGCTTGTGCGTAGGGGTCTTTAGCAGTGGGAGGAAACCAGAAGACCCAGAGAAAAAACACAAGGTTGGGCAGACCACCCTACTCCTTGTCACGTACAACCAGGGAATCGAAACCACGCCAGTTGACTCAATAACAGATACAGCACGCATGCACTAATCATTCGGCCATCCAACCGCCCTATGAAGAAAGAATGATAAAAACTACTTACATAATATTCCATGAGCCTGGGATTAGAATTGAAACTAACAGTATATCCTCCCCACATATATTGATTTTGTCCATTATAGTGAGGATTATAATGGGTATTAGTACCTGGTACTTCCATCCTGTAATCAACATGTAGACATTTACATCAACAAAATATTTAAATATTTTATGCCTAAGTTGAAAAAATTATTTGTTGCAATAACCAAAGTGTTTAGTATAGACCTATATATTTTCATACTGAACTCCATATGGACACTGACAATTTCCAGAAAAATACAAAAAATATTCTAATATTACACATACATGTACGCATGTACTAAGCACTTTCCAAATTATGAAATAGGTGTACATTGTAAATGTACAATCACGTATGACAATTTAATTTTTTACCTTTTTGGTGCTGCTAAACTAACTCGAACTGCCCTGCGACCAATTACCATGTGTTGCATTTCAATCAAGGCTTTTTGTTGATCAGTTTCTTCCAGAAATCTTACAAATCCATAACATTTACTTTTTCCATTAGAATCCAGAACAACTATTTCAAAATAAAAACATTAAAGAAAACCATTTTATGCACTGTTAAATAATAATAATAAAAAAAAAACTTAGTTATTTAGGAGCATGTGAGTGATATCGTTGATTTTGCCAGAAAAATAAACAGTTTTCTAGAAGGTAATGGGTTACCCTAGAAAAGTATGGTATGTTTAAGAATATTTCTAACATTCCATTAAAGGAGGTAAGTTTTTAACTCAATATCAACCACAGTCTTTGACACTGCAAACATGACTTATTGGCCAATTTAAATCAACATTGATGTTATTATTTTACTGTGAAAAGATGGGCTTCTGATATCCAATATTTAGGACAAAATGAAAATTTTAAAATTGACACACGAATCACGTGCCAGAATGTTTTTGAGCACCAGGGGAGAATACTACCGTATTTGGCGTATTTCGCCAAACATTACTGATTAAAAATTACAGTAAAAACAGAAACAATTGAATATAAATCAGTTTATATACATTCATATTACATTATTATATGCACTGCGACACATTTGTGTCCATTTCTAGGTGTCAAAGAATAGAGATTTAGCTCCTTTAAAATACAGAACTTTATAAGAAATAAAATGAAATAGGGATTTAATTACTTTAATGTCCTACATCACTGCACTAACTGGGCTAATGAAGACAGACACTCATAAGACATTAAACATAATAAACTTATTGATTATTGAATGATAAGTTTGCCTAACCTTTTGCAGACCGTAAACTTCTGTAACCAGCAAATGCATTGTACAACATGTCATCATCTACACCACTTGATAGATCACCGACATAAAGAGAATATTCTGGTCTGAAATGAAAAAGTTTCTGAAATGAGTATTATGGTAGCACAAAAGAAAAAAACCGAGTAAACATGGATATTCTTCTAATTTATTTAAGGTAGGTAAGGTCTACCCATCAAACACTTTAAAAGTGACTTTATACGACCCAGAATCAAGGAGATTTATTTAGCTCATTTAAGCTAATCACTTAAAGTTCAGTCTTCTTGAAGCAAAGGAGGGTTTGTAAACTGAATATAAAACACCTTAGATTAAGATTTCATAAGGTCAATGGGAATTTGAGTAAATTCATATAAAATAACTAGGCCTCTATTGGCACTATTAGTATTATGGTACGGTAAATAAATTGAAAAAAGACTTTGCAAATTGCAATTTGTCAAATGTAACTAGCCTAAATTCAAGTTTCTGCCTTTTCAGTTTTTACCTGTAATGATGAGATGATCTGTATGATCTCCTGTCAGAATATTCCTCTATTTTATCTGACATTTTTGTTAATTTAGTGAAATATTGAGGAAAGTCCTCCAGCAATAATTATTTTAACTTTTTTCTTGTGGTAAAAAAAGAGTTACCTCCCGTGTCAATAGTCTTGAAAGTTTGGTAAGAATATAAACATCTATATTATGTTAATTGAGATTAACTTTATTAAACTATAATGGGTGCAGCTATATTCTTTGAAGCGATATATTTAATATAAACAGCAATATATTGTTTACCGTCAGTTTCTTTTTAATCAACACGCGTTTGAAATCACAAGTAATAGACTTGACAATCACAGCTACAACTCGGGAGACAACTCTGCATTAAAAACAAAAATAATAAAATACACGTGCAGTTAGAATAAAATATTGTTTAGAAATATTTATTCTTTTTGGGGTCTCTAAAATAGTTCATGATGAATATTGTTGTTGGTACTTATGAGGAGCTGATACTAGGTTATAAACTAGACAAAAATGGAGACGTAAGAATTTGTTTTTCTATGTTTGTTTCCTCTCGCACGACATATTTGAATTTTAATAGTTATTCAATTGCAAATGTAACGTTGAAATGACATAAAGTACCGGTATGAACTATGAATGAGAGAAAAAAAAACCATACAGCACAATTTATATGGAAATAGAATGAGAGTAAGCTTTAATTAATGCCCTTCTTTTTTCCACCACCCGGGTTATATATGGCATGGTCAAATGGATCAACATTTCTTCCTAATATGGATGGCCGAATGGTTAGCACATCATAAGGCCTGTCATTGAGTCAACTGGTGTGGTTTCAAATCCCCGGTTGTACGTGACAAGGAGTGGGTTGCCTGTCCAACCTCGTGGGTTTTCTCTGGGTCCTCCGGTTTCCTCCCACTGCTAAAGACCCCTACGCGCAAGCGAATTATTGAAATAAAATTAAACCATGTCATGTGTTAGTCCCGAAATTACCTAGTCTGTGTCTAGTGGACGTCAAACTCCATTTCTCTCTCTCTCTCCTAATCTTATCTTATCATTGAATACCAAGTGACAATGAATAAGACTTTAACATGTACACTAACATATACAAAGATAAGAATTGAAAGAAACATGGAACCTTGGATTTTTGAATCCATCAGAACGAATAAATGTTTTTCCTTGATAAGGGGAAACCAGACAGGAAAATCCACAAGTACGGTACTCGAAATACAGTACCATACTTCAAAACTGATATATATTGTTAATCCTTCTTGATTTAATTGATTTTTAATGAGTATCATCAAAGCTTTTGTTATTCATACAGTATTCATATTATAAGTAATTAGTCACCTTCAATCACACTGTCTGAAAATTATGTGCCTTTTATTATTGTAATTGTAGAATTATTCCTTTGCAGGAGTATAAATTTGAACAAACATTTACAGATCACTCACATTTAGGATGTATTAAATCAGCAGGTATATCTAGAAAGAACATACTGGCTACAGGCAGTACCGATGAAACTATCAGATTATTTAACCTAAAAAAACACACAGAATTAGGTGCTTTGATGCATCATTCAGGTAATGTATGTACGTATGTGATATACTAACTAAGCACTATACTCTAGTAACCCTATAGGCCTACCCAAAATAGTCATTGAAATTTGAGCTGACATGCGTGCAAATAGATGTAATCCGGAATTACGCCAAATGGGTTTTTCAGAAAGGAAAGTTACATGACGGGTACAAACACCAATGTTTGTCGTTCATCACTGTTATTATACTACGGCCAGTTTTAATTTTAAACGATAATTAGTAACTATGCCGACCATGTGGGCGTACTTGAAAATATGATAGCAGATATAAACATAAATATTATATGATTGGTGTTACTTTTAGTCTGCTTCTGAAGTGTCAATGAACGATGAAGACACTCCGATGTTGGCATCTTAATAACGATCTAAAAACTATTTAAAAACGTAAATAAATTAAAATACGTATCTCATCACACTGGGGCCTATTCGGCAATAGCGCACTGTAGCAGAGTAACCCATTAGACGTCATTCAGGAGTAGGTGTAGGTCTATTATAAAATAAAATTTGAAGTTAATACAGTGTATCATTTGTATTGGGAAAACCCATCTGACATCATTCCTTGGTAGGTCTATTAATTATAAGATAAAATTTGAAGTTAATACAGTGTATCATTTGTATTACGGCTAACACCATGCCTTGACTAAAGTTTCTAAAGTTTCATAGCCATTGGCATCGTTTAGTATTTATAAGAGACAATTGTGTTCCATAGGATTATGATCTCCAGTGCACTTTTCCATAAATCACCATAAAATGCAGCACTGTTAACCAATTCAGATAATTTAATTATTAAAAAAGTTCACGTTCTGAAAGCCAACTTCAAATAAAATATGTCATATGTAGAACAACATAAAATACAAACCAAACACTTAGTATGATAGTATTGTGCTTGTATTTTTAAAACTCAACATCAAAACGTTAAATTTCCCATTTTACAGGTAATATAACACAGATCACATTCTTTCAAGATAGTCATATGTTTAGTACAAGTGAAGATGGTACCATGTGTGTATGGAAGAATTATACCTGGGAATGTCTGAGACAATTCAGGGGTCACAAGTAAGAATTCAAGTAGACAGATTATGTAAAATGAAATTTGGCCTAAAATTGTATATTAAACAGGCATTATGCAAGAGCTAAATCTGCCTATTGCAGGTCTATCTTTAGGACTTAAATGTTATCTAATTATTAATTAGACATTGATTAACTTATCCAGACCATAATCAACTCTCAATGCCATCGGATGCCTGCGATATTTAGTGGATTCAAATATATTTTGTGCTGGATGCGGTTACCGTAAAAATGCATAATCAAGACATTGTTTATTATGGGAACAATGGTATTAATGACAATCAAGGCTAGTCTATAATTATATTGCTGATTTCCATACCTCAGAATGATGTAATTTGACTCAAATTATCAACATATTCTCTTTTCATTATTTATTTTTTAACTATTATAGCGAAAACTGTCAGCTCTTTACCTAATCTTACCTAATGCCCCTTTAAATTTAAATTCTTGTTGGAACAAATAATTTACTTTTATGAAATATTTATTTTTATGATTATTTGCAGAGGTCCTGTTAATAGTGTATCTGTTCATCCAAGTGGTAGAATGGCTATTACAGTTAGTAAAGATAAAACATTAAGGACATGGAATCTTGTTACAGGAAGACACGCTTTTATTAGTAATATTAAAGAAGGTAAATTTATCAAGACCGCAATTTCCCAAATATCTGTGTGATGCTTAGTGGTGTCCAGTGGTGGATACAGGATATTTGTTTGGGGAGTGTTTCTCCTCCGAAATTTTTTTTGAAAAACTAGGATGACAGTGGCAGGGTTTGCACCAGTACTTGTACCGGAATTGTCAGTACTGAGACTCTTGGTACCCATACTGGTATCAATGCTGCCCAATACCGGTACTGGGTTAAAAATAAAATGCTATCCTCTAATCTCCCTGAAAGAAATCTAGACCAATGATATGCTCTCTCGTATATGTCCCAGTCGCTTTTCCGGTAGTGTTTATTGGTGGATGACCGACCCTACATTGACACAGAGTGGACAACGGAAGTAACTAGTTAGCCTCCGGCCTTAGATGTTTTGGGATTCCTAGGTTCAGGAATAAACTATAAACTATAAAATGAAAGAGCGAATATACAATAAATACACTCATTCTGTGATGAGTATGTACTGTTTAGATTCCTTTTCGTTGTTATTGTAATTGTTTCTCAATTAGTGTCAGTCAGTACCGGTTCCAGGAAAAATGGTGGGTGACCGACCTTCACATGGAGTCAAAAATCATGCTAATAACAGTTCTTGAAACTAATAGTGTAAATGAGTACAACTTCTTGATTTTTGTCAGGACTGATGCAGGCCTGCTACGGTACATTTTATTGGGGTTCGGTGTAAATACAGCAATAACACCAAGTGGTGCACATTATATTTTGTAATTTCACTGGCCAGTTTTCCATTTGCCCAATATTTTAGTACACATGGAATCATTTAAAATGCTATTTTCAAAAATTAGTCCGGTGAAGGGTGAGAATCATCGCCACCCGAGCTGTGAATTTATGAGAACACGTTTTTTCCAGACCAGTTTTTTGGATAGATTCCGAATCTGTGTGGTGATCAAGCATTTGAGGGGGCGTTTTCGTGATATGCGGGGTCCAATGTCTATAATTAAGGGGAAATGTGATTATGTTCACATAAATGATGATCATATTATATATTGATAAAACATAAATTTCTAGGACTGTCCATCTCTAAATAAGTGTATATGATGCCTCTGGACAACTGTTTTGATTTGTGTGGAGGTGGGGTGGGGGTGCAGAATCTACGCAAAAATCTGATCTAGAAAAACTTGGTCTCATAAAATTCCCAGCATGGGTGGTGATTCCCACCCTTCAGCTACCGGACTATATCTGTTTATATAGATTTAAAATACAGATGTTGGCGTACCATTATTTCAAATAATCGTACGGGTAACTTGCCAATTGTACATTATTGATACTAGTGAAATATTGGACTCGCATGACGTATTTCACTGTAAAAGCATGTGCAGTGTGTCTGTATTTTAAGTCGGTTAATGGTCTCGAGCTTAAGACATTGCATAATATATTGTAAAAACATTTGGGCCTACGACCCTCTTGTCGTTACAATATATTACGCAATGTCTCGCTCTCAACCATTAAACAATACATACAGTATGTAATTGTTAAATGGGGATCACGTGGCTAAGTGGGTAAGACGCTAGCTCGCTAGCCTGGAGGTCGGGTGTTCGATCCCTGCATTGGCCAAGAAAGTTCATCCAGATTTTCGGCGTGGTTCTCCCTTGTCAGTGATGCAGGACGGAGGGGCTGACAAGGAAAGCTGTCTAGTCGTTCGGATGGGACGAAAAACCGAGGTCCCGTGTACACATTGGCGTGCACGTAAAAGATCCCTTGGCAGTTGGGATTCGATATAAGAGTAGGCCGTAGTGCCGCTGTCCGGGCAAAATTTCCCTCATAGCACACTGTATGGCGTATGCCCGTCTTCATTAGCCCAGGTTAGGAGCAGAACAGTAGGACGTTAAACCCCATTTCATTTCATTTCATTTTAATTGTTAAAGACTTGCCTATGTTGAAAACTTAAATCCTTTTGTATGTTCACAGTTGCAGATTGGGTTATGTGGTCACCGAATGGAGAACATTATGCTGTTAGTTTTTATTATAAAATAAATGTGTATAAATTAGAGGTAGGACACTTTATTTACATGTTCTTTCTATTTTACTTGTTATTAGCTTTGGGCATTAAAGTGGAATATCAATGTAAATATAGTTAGGTATCAGATTGTTAGAATTATACAGTATTTATACTCCCACATTGTCGCCCCTGTCCATCCACAATTTCACACTACAGACTACATTTATGAGCATATATTTTACAGATTTCTATATGTTGTTTTGAATTAGTTAGATTAGGAAGCCCATTGAATTTCAGCGATTTCTGATAATAATTTCCAGAGTTATTGCACTTGGTCATTTTTGTATAACCTTATAAACACTCTAATGGTCAAAGTTATTATCCAGACAATTTTGAAATTTTTATTATGCATTGTTGAGATTAGTAAAACTAGAAACATATCAAATTTCTTTTTGAGTTATGGTCCATGTTAAGTTTGCAGAATATTGTGAATGTTCCAGCAAGAAACCTAAAAGATTACAAAAATTTCCATTAATTACATTATAGAGTTATAGCCCTTGTTCTTTTTGTAGAATCTTGTAAATACTCTACCAATTACTTATTACTTATATATTATTGCCCTTGATTATGTCATAGAATATTGTCTAATCGCCAATGATATTAGTAAAGATTGACAATGCGACAACAAAGTAGCAGTGGGCAACCTATATTTTTTCTACTTCAGGATGCAGCCATTCATTGTACCATACAGGCTGATAAGAGAATCAATAATATAGTATTTATCAATGTAAGTTATTACAAGTATAACACATCTAATCAATATAACATTATATAAAACTGTCTTAAACGGTTCTTTTTCATTCCACAAAGAAATAAATGTTAACTCCCCACTCCCAGCGAAAATATTCAGTGGCATAAACATTTGTATTTGTAGGACTGTATAATAGCATTTGGTGGTGAAGGAGGAAAGTTAATATTGTATGACTTTATACAAGACAAAGAACTTGAATCAATACATTTAAAATGTACTCGGTAAGATATTTTTTGAATATAGATTAAATACCAAGTCTCTCCAAGTTGTTATTGGTACATAAAATTGCATGGTTTTATATGTTTTAAGTCAAAATATGAAACACTACAAGAAATTTGTTTTCAGTGATCATAGGAAAATGGAGTTTTATGTCATTTCATGACTCTGGTGGTCATGTACAAGCATGCAATTGCAATCAAAACCACACACATATAAACGCCACTCCTCTGGAAGTGCAGCACAATGCTTTAAACCATTTTATGCATTATTTCAGGATAAAAGGCATTTCATGTTCAAATTTTGAAGATGATCAGTCACCAATATTAATAGCTACTGCCAGTGATGGTAATATCTGGGCATACAGTGTAGATACAGTAAAGGTAAATATTATAGTATTTAACTTGGCAGTATTTATATTATTGTAGGCCTACAGTTATAGCAGGCAACGATTACAATATTTAACTTAATTAACTTTAGTTTAATTTCATCATCTTGTATTAATGTTATGTAAACATTGTCAAAACATAATTGAAGTTTGACAAATTGCAAAAAAATCTTTTGATTTGAAATGTCATAGTTTATGATTTTGAATTGCAGGGATCACTAGAGCAAATTGCAGCACATGATACGAAATTCAGAATAACCTGTTTAGCAGTTACACCTCCAAATGCATCAAAGAAGTTAAATAAAGAAGAAACACTGGTTTTAGAAAAGTTAGATGAAGATTTACAAGAGAACGGTGAGGAGGAGGATCAGGAAACAGAGCATGTGATTAAAAAAGACAATAGTGAACAAAAAGCAAGAAAAGGTTCAAAGGGCAAAAAAGATGCCCAAAAGCGAAAAAGTAATTCTGTAGAAACAATTACTGAACCGACATCTCAAAAAACTAAGAAAATTCAAAGAAAGAAAAAAAAGATTGGGAGTGCAAAAACATAATTTCTAATAAAAGAAGTGTTGTTACTCCTCGACTTTGTTTGTGCAATTACCCAAAGTAATATGTATGATTACCTTGTACACTGCATATTATTTCCTGTATAATAAGTAGTAATATGTTACTTAGAAAAACACAACACAATTTATATGGAAAACAATCACTGGTTTATACACATATAGCATGACATTCCAACAAGTATTCTCTTATTGTTTTCAAGCACAAATGATTACGATAAGAGAATACTTGTCGAAACGTGCTATATGTGTATAAATCAGTGATTGTTTTCCATATAAATTGTGTTGCATTTTTTTAACGTGCTCAATCACTAAATGCCACTCAAGGATAACACATGTGTAGGAAACAGGTTTAGATAATTCACTCGTTAATTTAATTTTTACGTGGTCATTAAAAATTACATGAGTAATCCCCAACTCTGCCTCGAACAGATGACCTTAGGCTGACCTTAAAAATATCTTTGTTTCGCCTAACGCGACCGACTAACTAAAACCACCCCCGACTTAAATTATTTTATTGCACTTTTCCGCGATCTTTTTATTTTATTTTGTGTGTCAACCTGAAATATATCATGAGAGTTATTTCCCTTTACTATGGCTATAGTTTGATTCATTATTGAAACTGGTTGATCAAGACGAAAGCGTTATAGGTGTCGCTTCTCAACAAAATGGTTGCAGACGAAAGCACGTCTATTCCCACGAAATGATTCTGCTTATATGTCTGTGGGGCGTCGTTTTAAAAATGTCGAAGATATTTTCAATATCCGTTTTCGAGAAAAATGAAGGCACAACCCGCACGATCGTTAAAAACGTGTTGAAGGGGTTTCACACTTAGAGTTCGTGGCAAATCGTGTGCGAGTCTCGGAGTCGTGCATCACGAAAAATCCCGATGTCATACTCATTGATTTGTTTGACAATAAAAAAAGACGAATGTTCCCCCCCCCCCCCCCCCAGAAAATTATCAAGCTGTCAAATTAGCTCTTTAAAAAAAAATCTGAAAAAAACCCCGACCTACCGACCCTTCTCCTCGATTGTGGGTCGGGTTTGGCGAAACAAAGATATTTTTAAGGTCAGCCTTATATGCTGAAAATATCTTTAAAAGCCTAAATAAATTTACTGCAGATTTTACAGCCACAGTATGGTAACTTATTTTATGCCAACTTGATCTCTGCCCCTTCCACTGATGTTGACCTTGTAGATTAATCGCGTAAATAATTAATTTCCGTCCTAGTCCGGACTTTTTTCCTTATGCAAATGAGCTCTGTCTTAGATCTCATATAAGGTATATGTTCTAATATGCTAAGTTCTATTATGCGTTTGTTTAATGCAAAGTGCAGAATGGAGAAGTGTAATGTGCAAAATAACTATTATACTGTATTTTGTATTATTGAAAAGTGTATTATATATTTTAACACTGACAATGGTATTGTGGAGCAATGGAAATTGCAAATTGTAAAACTAAAATACGTATTTTGAACTGCTGACATATGCATTTTGCACTGTGAACATTGAAATGATATTGGCAACGTTATCCTTCCATACATTATTACATCCTGTGAAATTTTAGAAAAAAGTTACATTAAATCCCAGAAGAAATAGAGTAAAAATCAACATTTTATACCCACAGATCTTTGCTAAACTGTAAAATAATCTTTTCTACCTTCAATATGATTAAAAACAGAGATCATATTTCGTTTAGTTTTTTATAGCTCAAAATTTTGTTTTTCTTGTCTTCACAACACTAGTATCTGGAAAAGTTGTTATATAACCCTCGTTCTGCTGGTTGATGTGCAGGAATTGCCAATGAAACAGTCTGTTACGGTGAGTTCTTGGCATGCAGTGCACGGAACAGTGGGTAAACCACTAGAAACGTCAATGCTGATTGAATAATCAATGTCTGACATCATAGGGTCAAAAGCCACTTCTATGAATCCTGACGCATGCTTCCACTACAACCGGTCAGATCTTCATGTAGTGTAGGCCACTAAACTCTTTGTTGTTTAAAAAAAAAAAATAGAAAAAGAAAAGGCCTTTATTTTTTTAGTAATAATTTGAATAAAATTTGATGTCAACAATTCATTATAAAATAGTATGATATATGATAATCAATATAAATCCACAACCATTCATTCTTCTTTACTGCTTTATCAATCTAAGACTGAGTCTAGCTAACATCAAAAAGCTGAAAATAAATAAATGTGATTAAATGTTTAATTTCTGGTGAACAATAGCTAAAGTCTGTGCCCTCCTCCAAGAAATGCACAACACATCAAACATACTTCTGTCTTCATTAGCATGGTCATCCTAGGTATCCCAAATGGTATTGTTCCCTTCTACTACACTGACCCCTGGGTCCATTCATCAGGAAGACACAGTCAACTTACCAGTATCATTTTTATTGACCAATCAAAAAGTTCCATAAATATAAAGCGAGTGGGCAAAGGGAAGTAACTCGCATTTTGTTGCAACAACATGTAAGATCTCCGAATTGTTGTTGTAAACTTTGTCAAAATATTCTAGGACATCTTTTGTGTGCATGTTACTTCTTCGATATTAAATTTCTTCCAAACTTTCTCATAATCGAGCGTATAAGCTGCTGTATTGTGAATGTAAACAATGATGCCAAGACTGGTATGTAAACTGTTTCTTGATCGGTTCATAGAATCAACCTACATGGCCAAAAAATCATCAAGGACAGATAATTTAAATCCGTGAACAGACCCAGGGTTTAGTGGAGTACAGTAGAACAGATCAGGATGTAGCAAGGTTGATATAGAAAGTAGGACCAATCTGATTAAAACAAAGATCCTATTTTGTTTCGTTTTTTATAGTTCAAAATCTCGTTTTACTTGTCTTCACAACACTAGTATCAGGAAAAGTTGTTATATAACCCGCGTTCTGGTTAATTTGATGGATTAGCCAATGAAACGGTCTGTTGCAGCTAGTTCTTGGTGTGCAATGCACTGAACTGTGGGTATCCTACTAGAAACATCAACACTGATTGGTTAATCAAATGTCTGATGTCATAGGGTCAAAAACGCTCGTATGTGCCCCCCACTACAACTGGTCAGATCTTCATGTAGTAGAGGCCATCGAAAGTATAAAAAAAAAAATAGATCTGTATTTTAATCAGATTGAAAGTGGGACATTAAACACCATAATATTTTCAAATGTACATAAATTGTTAAATTTTGAGACCTGTCACTGACAGGCATCTTGTATCATTCTACTGTCCAGCAATGCAGTAAACAAAAAGAGCCATTCCTCAAAGTATGGAGCGGTTTGTCTCTCTCCAGCAAAGCTACTGCCATAATTTAATATGAAAACAACTATTTTACCTCAATGAGGCAACAAGTCCAGCCGGCATAAACTTCCCAGAATTCATATATCGGAAACCCATTACACCCATTAACAAACCACTAGTAGCTAAATTAAAATATAAAAAAAACTCGGATTCATAAACAGAAAAATCATTCCAAACAAAATGCCAGAACAATGATGAAATTAGAGCAACAGCTTCTACTGTAGTGGATCTTGACAAATTAGTCAGTTAATGAATGTGTCTCACCAAGTTTAGGTTATAATTTTCTACTGAATTCACAATAAATTTTATGTCTGATAAAAATATTATGGTACTAGAAATCATGCAAGTATATGTGTACATGTCAAGGACACATAATCAAAATCACACATATAAAGACTTATGTATCCAAAGGTAAATCCGACAATTTGCAATACAACCAGACTACAGCTCTAGTGAATTTTATTGTTCCTAACTTCATGCATGCTACATGCAAAGGGCCTATTGCATAATAAAAAAAAATAAGTTTGTCCTACCCAATGACACTGCAACATTTTTGGGATCATTACTGGTTTGGTATGCTCCAAACCCCAATAAACTTCCACAAGCTAATCCCATAACCAAAGATGGCACACTTCCTATAGAAAAATAAAATATTCCTAATAATTTAACCAGCGGCTGCCAGGCAGGATACGCCCACATTTTGCAAGAGATGGATAGAGAACAAGCTCTTTGCGTATGAGGGGTGGCAATTTTGTCCGGCAGTTTTGGTCCAATTTTCATGAAATTTAAACTCAACCATCCTTAGGGTGTAACGGTGATATTTTCGAACAGTTTTTTTAAATCGGATAATAATTGTGGCCTCTAGAGGGACCACAAGATAAAAACGTGATTTTTCGTACAATCAGGGGCCATAATTCAGGAAGTTACAATTCGATATGTACGAAAATTGAAAGGAACCAAGATATTTGTGTTATAAACATGCGTTTTAAGTTTCATGAAAATCAGATGAAAATTGTGACCTCCAGAGTGTTCACAACCCTGATACACAATATTTTGACACTATTGCGAACGAGGGGCAGTCATTTTGTCTGTTAGTTTCGGTCCAATTTATATGAAATTCGAACCCAACCATCCTTAGGGTGTAACGGTGATATATTCAAACGTTTTTTTAAATCGGATAAAAATTGTGACCTCTGTAAGGTCCACAAGCTAAAAACGTGATTTTCCGTACAATCAGGTGCCATAATTCAGGAAGTTATGGTCCGATATGCGCGAGTATTGAAATGAACCGAGATCTGTGGGTTATAAACATGCATTTCAAGTTTCATCAAAATCAGATGAAAATTGTGACCTCTACAGTGTTCACAAGCTAAACACGTGATTTTTCGTACAATCAGGGGCCATAATCCATGAAGTTAAAGTCTGATACATGCCAATATCGAAAGGAACCAAGATCTTAGGGTGATAAACCTATATTTCAAGTTTCATTGAAATCAGATAAAAATTGTGACCTGTAGAGTGTTCACAAACAATAGTGGACGGACAGGGGTGACGACAATATACGTCCACATGAAAATGTGGGCGTATAAAAACAGCTTGTATTGCATAATAAACCTTTTAAAGCCACATGGATTACATTAAAATAACCATGTGTCAGTCTCAAAATGACAGGTAAAATGTGGATGAGAATGAGATGTTACCCACATTTTGTTTACACATTGTGCCTGGAGGTCGGGTGTTCGATCCCTGCATTGGCCGAGAAAGTTCATCCAGATTTTCCGGCGTGGTTCTCCCTTGTCAGTGATGCAGGATGGAGGGGCTGACAAGGAAAGCTGTCTAGTCGTTCGGATGGGACGAAAAACCGAGGTCCCGTGTACACATTGGCGTGCACGTAAAAGATCCCTTGGCAGTTGGAATTCGATATAAGAGTAGGCTGTAGTGCCGCTGCCCGGGCAAAATTTCCCTCATAGCACACTGTATGGCGTATGCCCGTCTTCATTAGCCCAGGTTAGGAGCAGAACAGTAGGACGTTAAACCCCATTTCATTTCATTTCATTTTACACATTGTGTTAGCCTTGATAACTAAAACATTTTACCAGTATTACAGTAAGCAGGATGGATTGGATGTGTTCATGAGTAGATAAATGATTGCCAAAATAAAGGACTTGTCTTGTATGTGTAATTTATACATTATGTAGTAGGCCTATTTAAAAGATAGGTTGCCAGGCAACAAAACATACGCCCATAGCAGCTAAAGTCCGAGCAGTCGACAAGGGTTGTCACATATTTTTTCTTTTGTAGGTAATTAGGGGAATTTAACAGACAATTTCATACAGATGACATTATAATTTTCGTTGTTTGAAGGTTCACAAAGGTTCTAAAAACTAAAACAAGGGCCGTAACTCTGGAAGCAATCTACAGAAATTGTTCAAATTCGACAGGCTTTTTTCGTTTTACTAATTCAAATAATGCATATAAATTTCATACAGATCGGATGATAACTTTTGTTGTTCGATAGTTCACAAAGTTCAACAAAGTAAATCAAGGGCTATAACTCTAGACATAATTGACGGAAATTGCTGACATTCAATAGGCTTGTTCGTCTTCATTTCACTAATTTAGGTGATAACTGAAACTCAATAGGCTTGTTTGTTTTACTAATTTAAATGATACATATAAATTTCATACAGAACAGATAATAACTTTTGTCGTTAGAGCATTTACAAGGTACAACAAAGTGAAACAAGGGCCATAACTCACGGCGTAATTATCGGAAATTGCTGAAATTCAATAGGCTTCTTCTTTTCACTAATTTAAATGAGGCATATCAATTTCAAACAGATTGGATGATAACTGTTGTCATTAGAGCGTTCACAACATTCAACAAAGTGAAACAAGGGCCATAACTCTAGATGTAATTAACGGAAATTGCTGAAATTAAATAGGCTTCTTTGTTTTACTAATTTAAATGATGCATATAAATTTCATACAGATCGGTTGATAACTTTTGTCATTAGAGCATTCATAAGGTGCAACAAAGTGGAACAAGGGCCATAACTCTAGACGTAATTAACAGAAATTACTGAAATTCAATAGGCTTCTTCGTTTCACTAATTTAAATGATGCATATAAATTACATACAGATCGGATGATAACTGTTGTCATTAGAGCGTTCACAAGAATTAACAAAGTGAAACGAGGGCCATAGGCCCATAACCCTAGATGCAATTAACAGAAATTGCTGAAATTCAATAGGCTCCTTTGTTTTACTAATTTAAATGATGCATATAAATTTCATACCGATCGGTTGATAACTTTTGTTGTTAGAGCGTTCACAAGGTGAAACGAGGGCCATAACTCCAGAATAAATTAACAGAAGTTATTGAAATTAAATAGGCTTCTTCATCTCACTAATGGAAACATATCAATTTCAAAACAATCAGATGATAAATGTAGTCTGTAGAGTGTTCATAAGAAATTGTGGACCGACGGGGGCGACGGCAATATACGACCACATTTCCATGTGGGCGTATAAAAATTAGCCTCTGATTTAAAGATAGGTTGCCAGGCAACGAAACATACGCCCACAGCAGCTAAGTCATCCGAAAAGTCAATAAGAGTTGTCGCATATTTTTTCTATTGTCAGTAATAAAACATTTATAATACACGAAAAGTCAACAAGAGTTGTCGCATATTTTTTCTATTGTCAGCAATAAAACATTTATAATACACTAAAATCTCATTAAGTAATTATCTGAAAATCATTAGAAATTGTTTGGCCTTTAGTTCTGCCCCATGCTAACGTTTAGTATATGAAACATTTAATATCATGGATTTAGCTGTTCAAGTGATCAAAATTCATTGAAAATCGATATATACTCAAGACCTTAAACTCTGTTTATCAATCTAAAGTCAATCGGATGATGACTTTGGTCTCTAGAGCTGAGCATCCACAAGATTTTTCAAAGTGACCAAGGGCCAAAACTCGGACAGTAATTATCGGAAATCATTGAAAATCACTGGGCTTCTTCGTCTCACAACCTTAAACACTGTGTATAAATATAATCGGATATTAACTTAAGCCTCTAGAGTGTCCACAAGATATTTCAAAGGGATCAAGGGCCATAACCCTGGTAGTAATTATCAGAAATCATTGAAAATCACTGGGCTTCTTTGTCTCACGACCTTAACCACTGTGTATAAATCTGAAGTCAATCGGATATTAACTTCAGCCTCCAGAGTAATCACAAGATTTTTCAAAGAGATCAAGGGTCATAACTCTGGCAGTAATTATCGGAAATCGTCGAAAAACAATAGGCTTTTTCGTCTCATGACCTTAAACACTGTGTATCGAATATTAACTTTAGCCTCTAGAGGTCCACAAGATATTTCAATGTGATCAAGGACCATAACTCTTGCAGTAATTATCGTTGAAAATCAATAGGCTTCTTTGTCTCATGACCTTAAACTAACACTGTGACTGTGTTGGCCTATAAATTTCATGTCAATCGGATTTTTCAAAGTGATCATTATAAGGGCCATAATTACTCTGACAGTAATTATTGGAAATCGCTGAAAATCAATACCCCCCGCGCGGACTCAAACCTCCGGTGTTCGCGCGGCGTGCACCTACGGTGCTCGCGGGTCGGGCTTCGCCCAACATTGCCGCGCACGACCAAATCCTTAATTAGACGAGGCTCTCTCCCCCCCCCCCCCCTATATCTGTGAGCCAATAACCCATTTTATATGAAAGAATTATGAAACCGTATTACCTGCTTTTACATAACCAATAATGCCACCTGCAGCAACAGTTGCGGCATATCCATATGCTAAAAAGTCAACAGGCATTTTACTGTTTTCCAACCTGTCAGTATCACGTTTAATGTTATATAATACTTTTATACTACGGTTAAGACCACCAGCCTCGGTTTCAGATAAAATGGCAGCTTCCGTCCATGACACGAGAAATAAATTTCCGGTGTCAACAAACCAGGTTTTTTATGATTCATATTTCAATTTTATGCTAGAAATATTGCAGATTATTCTTGTTTAGATCCTTTAACCGTCTGCAGTATTTGAGGAAATAACAGAGGGTATTGGAATGCTCTTTTTGAGTTTGATTTTGTTTAACGGATGGGACAAAAATGAAAGTAGGCCTTTCTGCCAACTTCAAGTTTGCCAGGTGACAGTCTACTTACAGACTCGCAACCTAATTTAATGTGATGGGCTAGAAATTTAAAAACTAATATGCTTTTAGTCCGTGAATAACTTCTATAAATTGAGCACAGTGGCTCAGTCAGTTGTACATGCAGTAGGTGCTGGCTCCAGGCCCGTAACTATTGGGTGGGGGGGGGGTCAAGTTGCTCTGAGTTAGTTACGGCCCTGGCTGGCTCCCTAACCTGGAGCTCCCAGGTCGCTCCACTGTTGGCCGAGAAAGTCCCGGTGTGCTTTCTCCTGGTCAGCTGTGCAGGACAAAGAGCCTGGCAAGGAACATTGGGATTGGAGGATCTACACATTGGAGTGCACTTGAAACTTGAACCTCTGACAGTTGGAGTTTGAAATAAGAGAAGGCTGTAGCGCAGCTGTCCAGGCAAAATTTCCCTCATAACACTCTCAAATGTGTATGCGCATCTTCATTAGCCCAGTCTGTGCAGAAAAGTAGGATGTTAAACCCAATTTTATTTCTACTGCCTTTAATAACTAATAAGGGTTTACATCCATTTCCACAGGGACATCTCAGATTCAGACAAAACTTACTACTCTACTGACTACTGTATTTCAGGTGGCTTATGAAGTAAATGGAATACCAAGTGAAATTGTTGTTAGTCAATTTACAGATAAATTATTTATTGTTGTTACACAATATAAAAAAATAGGTACTGTGGTAAGTAGACAAATCTCTTATCTTAAAGTTCCTTCTTTTTTTAACAATTATCTTCAAAGAATATAAATAATTATGTTATAAGAGTATTATATTAACCCATTAATTAACACTTAGACCGCCCTCCTAATAAGGACTCCTTAGACCGCCCTATCTAGGGCACCTTAGACCGCCCCAAAATGCCCCATCACACGCACTAGTAAAGTCCCATAATGTGGATAGCTATTCACAACAGTTTTGGTTTATCCAGGGATGTACAGGAATTTATTATATATAACTTTTCTCTACCAAATCCACACAGACTGAAAAAGTTTGTGTATTAATGAATTGCCTTTTGTTTTACCCAATAAGTGGTAGCATGGTCCAAAAATATATATTATTCAGACAAAATTGTATTGAACATTTTCATGATATTTTCTTTCAGCTCCAGATCAATAAAGAAATAGTTTTAGATGAGATGCAACAAGCCTCAACAGTTTATAATATAAAAGTTTTACTGGGGAAAGATGAAGTGAGTACTGGTACATATGCGCAAGATATGGCATTGTATATTTTGTAATGGGAGACAACTCTTTCAGTCTTACAAGAGGAATCAGTAGACCACAAATTTAGTTCTTTCCTTTTAAACTTCAATCAAAACGCAATGTTTTGTATGGACAAAGACACTGGTTTGTTTTGTTTGTTATTATATTTTTTTGTGGTGGATGGGGGTGGGGGTGTTTGAAAAAGGTATATTTTATTTTAACCCAGGTTCTGTGCCTCTATATAGTGTTTTTACTGATGTAAATGTTATTGTATTACAACCCGCTTGCTGCGGATGATTTTGTATATTTTTTCAACCTTTTTGACATTTCTTTTCCAGCCATTGACACATGTGATAGCTAAAAATTTAACATCTGAAATAAACACTAATAAACAGATTATACTTACTGTGGCATTAAAAGACTCAAGTCCCCAAACAGTAAAAATACTTAAATCTTTGATAAAAGACTGTGTTTGTTAATAGTAAAAAGCTGAGTATTGTTTGGACAGCTTGGATAGAAAGTGAACATCAGATACTGGAATGAAGAGCTACAAAGTGTTCAAGGAAAGTGTTCAAATTCTTTATGTAATATAACAAGAACTTGTAAAGCTATTTCATTTGATTCATTTTTTAAAACTGAATTTCTTGTTACTTGTTTTTAAAACTGAATTTTTTGGAAAATAAATTATAATAAAATAATTGTTTTGATGTATTCTGTGGTGGGTGGAGTGTCTCCTTAAAGATGAATTATGTAAGATTTAGATAAAGAGCTGGCCGTCCTTGCTATAATAGTTTAAATATAGATAATGAAAAATATATATTGAACATTTCATTCAAATTACTTTATTCTGGACGAGGTAATAAATGTTTGAAGATGTAGCATAGATCGTTTATTATTGTAGCAACAGTACTTGAAAATCTAGACTCTGTGTTCATTATCCATGTTATGGTTACATTTTTAAATTTTAGGAGAGAAGGGATGTACTGTACACCATCCAGTGGACTAGAGAGTTAATAATAAATAGGATTATCATGTCAATAAATATTTAAGTGATAATTTATATAACACTTGAAGCCAAGAGAAAGACCTGCAATAGGCAGATTTAGCTCTTACATAATACATCTTTAAGATGTGGGGGTTATAAAAAATGAAATTGGACAAGTCTTTATCTTTAAAGATTTAATCTCCCATTTGTTCCAAAAAATATATAATTTTGGTGATATTATTTATATTATAACAAACTCTATTACTGCAAATAGATTAAACTGAAAGACGAGAGTCTGATTTAACATTAGTCAGCGTCTGTTCAGTCTTAGATAAAATATATTTTCATATTGGCACTCTCTAAATGGTTATTTTAGACGAACTTTGTTTTGAAAATATCTCGAAAAATGTAAATTAGCCATCTGGGATTCGACCAGTATAAATAAATGAATCTCATATTATTGTGTTAAGTTTGACACATTTTAAATGGTTATTTAATTATGGAATACTTTTCTTCACTCCCAGATTAGGACTGAAGACTTTTTTCATTCAAGAACCCTATACACATGAGAAATGTCAGCATGAACCTATATAAGCATCAACCAATCCTATTTGGCTACTGGAGGTTGGGAGTGACTTTGGTCCCATATGAGAATGACTCAGTAGTACTATTGCTGTACATTTGCACACAGTCATTCAAAGGTGCAATAAATTATGTTCTTGTGTTTTCGTCCTTTATCATCCAAGATAATTGCACATGCCCAAATGTGGATGGGGTTAAAAGTTTCGTTTATCTTCTTCAATCATTGTCGCTTGCCACTAAAAACTTGTTGGACAGCTTGTTGTATTTAATTTATTTACTTGACAAATAAGTCAAAATACAGGGATCACAAAACCCAAAACATTTATTTTTTTAGACACAGCTGAACAACATGAAATTCTGAAGTTTTTGTTTGGAACAGACACGTTGTGTGACACTCCGTATAATCTCAAGATGGAGTTATATTTCATTAGCCTGTAATGAGATCTGAATTGAAAAGGGTGCAATAGAGGGAAATAACAGCTGTTTTTTAATCCTTGGTGACACTACAGAAACATTCTGAGTTAAATGAACAAACGTTGGTGGGAGTTCTTCAATCGTTTTGGTGGAGTCTGTAATGGAACCCATGTCGGTCACACTTCCACGACTTTTTGATTTGATGTATAATTGACTGGTTTTTATTTCATTTGCAGACTTGGAATACTTTGCCGCCATTGTTATTTTCCAAAACAGACGTTGATAAGAGCCAGGAACAGGTTGCATTATGCAATATCTGATTATGGTATTTGGTGTTAAATTCATTGTAATAATAAAAGTGAGGTATTGGCCTACATAGCCTAATTTACATTTTTAAAAAAAAGCGGCCTCCATGTTATTTATAGGCTTAGTCTAATTTCTTTGGAACGAGTACGCTGCTCAAGTAGTCTGGTAACAAATTGTCTCCGATCGAAATTTGGTCTTTCCGGTACGACGTTTTTATCTTCTCGTCCATTATCTCTTAAAATAGGGATAGTGATGTAAAGGATGAAGACCAAGATGAAGAAATATATTGAAAGTCTTGCTTTGTACAATTCTACAACTGTCTGGTCCAGGAAGGTTATAAACGAAATAAACTAGAAGCATGGAACAGTCCATGGCGAAGCTAGGTGTTATACATTGGTGCATTGACGGTCCATGTTTATTCAGACAAAAAGTCCAGCAGGTTACCGCAGTGGCATCACCACGTCATAAAGTTTGGGTCGTTGTCATGACGTCGTTCTCATTAAATAAAGACCATCTTATATTTTCTTTCTTTCTGGCAACTTTAAACAACTAATATTTTAATATGAATTCAGAAAAACGGATTCTCCTGAACATACGACTACATTTGAACGAAAAGTTACAAGAGGGCGAAAGGCTGGTAATTCCTGCAATTAGAGCCATATCCGGACTATGGAGAATTATGACCCCAATTCAAGCAGATGAAGGTAATGATGACAATGAATTGTACTATCAAGCTTCAGTGTATCTTCCTCAAAATACAGAGTTTGAATGGCGATGGGTGATTTATAAAGATAACCATATCGTTGACATCGAAAAGGACTACAGACGGTGCAAAGTCGGAAGATTCGGTGGAGTTATCCACACCAGTTGGGACAGCGAAGTTAAAATTCTTGAACCGGACATGTGCGTGGTGTCGTTTTATTCCCGATATCTGACTCAACCCGACGAGAGACTGGCCATTGTTGGATCCAGTGACCCTCTTGGTAGGTGGGTATCTTCCAAAGCAGTCCCAGCTTATGAACACCCACCCGGCGAGTGGTCGGTTTCGGTAGCTCTCGAAAAAGACACTTCCCAAGAATGGAAATGGGTGTTACTTGATATGAACCATGACTATATCAGGCGGTGGGAAGATCGACCAAATCGCGTTTTAGACTGTGAATCTTTTAGTTGGAGGTCAGTTTGGGCTCCATGGAACGGTGGAAACTATTTCACGGGTTCTGGATCTTGGGAAAAGCTCGAATGGTCAGCATTACGATTACCAGCAGATATATTAGATGACAGTTTTGACACCTCCACCAATAACAGTTGATTCGACTTTTATTTTAACTAATGACAGCTACATCATTCTATGACTAGAGGATGGTGTTGTAAGCTACTAGTACTACTGTTTAAAATCTGGAGAAGAGACAGTCATGAGCTGTTAAATGAAGAGGGAACACTAACAATTTATGAATAAATATACCATGTGAATAACCGGTTATAATATTCAGAATTTTTTTTTTTGATTTCTTCAAAATTTTATACTAAATTTTGGCAATCCCCAATTTGCCCCCATTAATACTTGACAATAGCCACTGAGTGATGAATTCAATCCTGTAGATATTTCTCTTATCTTTTCGTTCAAAATTTGATTTAGAGGAAAAATCAAGAGGCACCACTTACAGCTGCTATGTACATGCCCAAGTTCATTATATTAAGTCGTTATCAGTATTAAAACGGTGTAAAGCACTTAATAAACATATTGATAATTTTTAATAGGACGTTACTTTAAAACACAGCTGGTATCATATGTCTACAAGTTAGCTTGGCTCTCTTCCAGCTTTATATTAAATTGATAAGATATAGATTAAATTATATAGCTAGGTAGTTTTTAACTTAAATATAAATTTGCATGCTAATATTTTTTTTTTACTAAAACTGCAACAGGTACATAATAGCTAAAGTCGCATATTACGGACAGTAATATTATCTAATTTATCGCAGATTAATACACCCTAATTAATACTCAGAACGTAACTCGTAAGAGTGATTGTGTTTTTGTAGGGCTATGAGCACAACTATGTGGAATTAGCCCGATGTAAATGAACTTATTATTATTATTATTTAACATTGGATTATGGAAACTAAATCAACAGTAGGTAACACCCCGGTTTGCATTCCTTTATGTAAAAATAAGAGGCCGACCAACAGATACCAAATGTTGAAAAACTTTTCCCTTTTTTCAGTTCATCGTATCTTTGTAAATACTGAACGGATTTGAAAATTTATCTTTGAAAGCTTGCAAAGGATTACAAACCACGATGAGAGACTTTCAGTTTTCTTGCCATGGGAGGAAGTTTTCAATCAATATTATTTAACCTTTTACTTAAAACTTTGTTTAGGTTACCACCTCTTCTATTTTTAAGTTGTATGTAGGTATGGTATCATCATAGGCGTACGAGCTGGGGGGCTGGGGGCGGCCGCCCCCCCATTTTAGGCACCAAATGCTGGGAAAATTTGGGCACACAGTTGTATAAAAAAATATTGTGTTCTTGAATGTGTCCAATTTAATAGCAAATTTATTATTATCATGTAACATACTAAGAACCTAACTACATTTTTTGGGCACCAACCACCACCGCCCCCCAGTCAAAAATTTCCCCGTACGCCTATGGGTATCATGTAGTGGCGACAACCCGAGATCACAACATTTTAACACAACAACCCTAGATCACATTTTAACCCGATAACAGGACATTAAAAATGTTGTGGCATAAAATGTCGTAATAGTGTTATTCAAATTAAATTACATTTTCATGATTGCCTTTTCTCTATTTTTATATAATATATCATATCAAATTTTCTACCAAATGAGTCAATGAAATAAGGTTTAACGTACTACTTTTCTGGGGGCAACGGTGACTCAATGAGTAAGATATTGTGTTAAAATGTCCTGATGTCGGGTTGTTGTTGCCTTATGAAGGTCGAAATCACGACATTTAATATGCAGGCCCTCCAGAGCTGTGTTTTTCTTTCTGTTTCAAGTTTAAACCATCGTATTTCTCGCAAATTGGGAGCCATGGTGGCTAAGTGAGTAAGACGCTGGCTCGCTAGTCTGACATTGGTCGAGAAAGTTCATCGGGATTTTCTTGCGTGGTTTCCCCTTGCCAGTGTGCAGGACGGAGGGTCTGACAAGGACAGCTGTCTAGTCGTTCGGATGGGACCAAAAAAGTGGTCCCCAGTACAGTACAGTACACATTGGCGTGCACGTAAAATATCCCTCGGCAGATGGAATTTGATATAAGAGTTGGCCGTAGTTCCGCTGTCTGGGCAAAATTATAGCCGTCTTCATTAGCCAAGTCGGAGCATAACAGTAAGATGTTAAACCCCATTTCATTTAACGTTTTGCAGACCCCTCGTGTTATCCCTTCATAAATTCATAAAGTTCACGGATATAAGTTACCAGGCAACGAAACATACGCTCGCGGCTTCTAAGTCCTCCATTTAATCCATGGGTTATCGTCTTCTAATTTTTTAGTAGTAAAATTCCCGTAGAGCTTTTTCTGCCAAACCCGGTTCGAACCAGCCCCTTATTAACTTGAGCCACCGCGGGCCCCTGGCAGGCTGAGAAGTTCGCAAACTATGAAGAGATCTGGAACATTACTCCATTCTTTGTAAGCATTAAATAAGCCTATATTTAATATTAATGTTGCATAATTATACTGTTAATCTTTTGTCCGATTAGACAAGTAAATCTGATATTTGACAAAATATGGTTTATATGTCTTTTTTTTAGTTTAGTAGGCCTACAATAGGTTTTTTTTGTCCCCCGCCTTTGGAAGAAAGCAGGGGACTATTAAAATGGGTTCGTATTTGGGACACAATAACTCTCCTTCTAATTGAGCTAGAATGTTCAAACTTGGTGTAGGTGTAGATAGGCATTTTCTGCTTAGGATAATCAGAGATAAGCAATTTGATTGGTTAATATTGATAACTTTAGTTTTAATTAAGCGAGAGTGATGAAACTTGGTGTATAGTTTTATCGCATCAATACCTTGATTAAGGTCGAAAATGAGCATTTTCTGCTCAGGGTAATGATATTTGATAATCAGTTTGATTGCTTAATGACTTTGAAAAAAATAAATGTGTGATTAATTAATATGAGTCATCTATTTATTTTGGGATTTCGGCGGGGGACGTCAGCCTCACTGTTGGCTCGTTACTTTGTGTAATATGATCATGGAAATATTTATCATAGAACGGATATTTATTTTGATTCATTGTTGAAAGTTGTACATATCATAATCTGTATGTATATATTTATTCCCTAAATAAAGTTAATTTGGTTTTTAAACTAGTTCTCTGCAACTACTGCACGCAATCAGAGATGACCAATACCTGTAATAGGTTGCACATTACAGCTTCTCCAGGAGAATTGACCCTGATATTAATTGAATATTTATAGGATTCTTTGTCTAGGGAGCATAAGAACTGTATACAAATTGCTAGTTGATCATAATTTCAATGCGAGCTTATTTTTTCTGATTAATTCATATTTTAGCCGAAAAACGATACATGTTGTCAAAGGAATAATTAAACATATGGTTGAAAGAATAAGATAACGGTTTGAATATAAGAAATGAAATGGGGGTTTAACCATAGACTATTATTAGTATGTCTATGGGATTAACGCCCTACTGTTCTGCACCAACTGGACTAATAAAGACGGGAAATATTAATTTATGTTAATGAATATTTGGCAGCTATAGTAGCCATAATATTGTTTGCTCGATCAGTAAAACAGTAATACATACAGAATGTATATTCATTATTTCTTTTATGTGTGGATCTCTGTTGATATTTTTGGTTTGTGATTTCTCACCCAGACTCAAATAATGCATGTCGAAATACTTTTCATTCATGACATAGCTGACAACCCTGTAATGTAAGTATTATAGAAATCTGTCTCATCTAATTACGAATTTGATATATGTGGCTAAGTGGGTGCAGTCGGTGTGCATGTATATCAGCAGGGATAGTCTGACGAAATCTCTGTGGAATCTTTTGAAGACTTCAATTTCTGAACAAAAATGTGGTACATAAGAATCAGGCAATTTTGTTTTATTTGTTTACAAAATATTCTAAATACTTTTTACAAAAAATATTTCAGCCAAACTGCGTTTGTTTAAATGAAAGCATTTAACAAATGTACATGATAGAGGATATCAAATACCAATACACATATTATAATAATAGACTTTATTCCTTGTAAAGTCAGAATAAAAAATTGTAGACAAATACATTTTTGATTATTTTGTCTGAAAGATAATATTTCATTGTAGGCGTTTCTTGATAATAAATAAGTAGCAGAAACAAAGAAATAAAAGTAAATTTATTATTGAGAGCATTTGACCATGCTAGAGTTCCAAGTGTTAATTCATTTCCTTTAACAATGCCGATCTTTAACTTTTGACAGTGAATAAAAAAATCATCAAGCAATCCTTATCTAAGATTCTATGATATTTGTATTATCAAAATCTGTTTATTATTACAGATTATTTATTATTACAAATAATGATCATAATATAAATAATTAACAAGTATGGCCTATAATAAATGATAATCTCTCAAACTATTTCAGTAAACAATTAATAATGTAGTTCAAGAGGCTGCCAATTGAAATTGAGAACATTAAATACATAATATTGTTTCACATACATATTCAAAATTAGTAAATTATTGGTCCAAAATTAAACATACAATGATTAGAGCCAGGGTCAGATTAAGATTGTGTAGGCCCCTGGGCCACAGGTACAGTGAGGTCCCCAGAAAGATGTCTTAGGACTAACATGTATGTTGTGAATGAAATTTTTACACACTGGCTGTCCCGACTACAATAAACAGTTTCTTTTTGCTTGAAAATATATAAACAGTATATTAATTGAACTTTTTTTTTGTAACTAGATAATTTAGAGTACACATAATTTAAGCTTTTCACTTTAACTCGGCAGGCTGTCCAACTGGCAAAGAAACCTGACATACAGTCCCTAAAGCCCATGCTATAATATGGCCCTGATTACAGCTCAATGAAATGATATCTGAGCATTTTGAAATGATATTTTTCAATATAATATAACATACATTAACAAGTCTATTTTGATTTAATACATACCAAAACAAAAAGTACCTCATCAAGTTTAATATTTGTGTAACTTTTAAAAAAGATTTCTGAATAATGAATATTATTACAATTTTAAAGGCATACTACATGTATATACAAGAAACAAAGACTGCAGTGTACAAAACAAACAAAATAATTTATAGTATACATGTATACCACATGTACTGGTTTTATTATTAATGAATATAAATCTTAATACATCTCCTGGTACTATAAAGATCATAATCTCAAAATATAACATTTATAACATAATCTGCTTATCTAAAAAAATATTGCCATTTTGGAATTATTTTGCTGCACATAGTAGGTTTTTGTTAAAGGCACAATATTCTAGACTAAAAGGCACATATAGAATTTTAGTCCATACACATTAAAAGAAAAATAGTATCAAAAGGCATATTGGTCCAACAATCATTAAAATCATTAGTCCCTAGGTAAGTTATGGTCATCCAATGTTTCCATCATTTTCTTTTTTAAAAGGTCAGTCAGCCACTTAAACATACATTATGCAAGAGCTAAATCTGCCTATTGCAGGTCTTTCTTTAAGTCAGAAATTTTATCTAAATTATTACTTAGACATTAATTAACCTATCCACACCATAATCAACTCTAGATGGTTATGCTAGGCTGCAATCTTTACTGGATTATGAACCGATTTACTGTATAACTTTCCTTCACGATTTAACGATTAAATGGATAATCGAGACTAGACTGTTTATCGTACTGACTTTAGTAATGATGATCGAGGCTAGGTGGAAATTTCAACCGCTTAGTTTTCGGTTCATAGTGGATCAATTTGAATGAAATTTTCAGCAAATTGCCTTTACATTATCTAGTTTTTAACTTTTATAGTGAGAACTGCCAACTCGTTATCGAATCTTCCATAATGTATCTTTAAGAATTTAATAACTGGTTTCTGTTGAGGTCAAGATTTAAGATGGTGTCAACCTAGTTTTTGTTTGGTTTAATTGTCTAGACGAAAATCTAAAGAACACCTTTCACCTATTTTTTTGTAAAATTTAAATCAGGAAAATGACTGTTAGTCTCTTGGCTCAGGACATACTATCCATTATTCAACAATAAACATCAATTTGGAATAATATGATATGATTTAATGCATGAATTACTCCTACAAAATTATTACTCAAAACAATGTAATGCACCTTTTGGAAGCCAGATTTCAAGAGATATATATTTCTTTATTCTCTAAATACTTATTCATCTTTGATTTCCCTGTTATTACTTATATATTGATTGATCTATTATTAAATGTATACACCTACATGTATTTATATATAAATTGAGTAAGCATAGATATAAGAAGTACCTTACTATGGTATTAAAGAAAACAAGCGAAGTTTGTTTTCAGATTTATATTCAAAACTTTAAATCCTTTCAAAACAAAATATTGACCAGTTATTATCATTCTTAAACTCTTTCAGCTTTCTTGATAATCCTACAACAATGTATTATTCCTCTTGCAGGAATCACCTGGTGAATGGCTGTGTGGCCAACCATAGGTATCTCTAGCGCATTCTGTACTAAAGGCCAAATACCTTTCTTCCTCCCAACCAGCCATACAACACTGAGTGCTGGCCGAACCTACTTAACACATTTATCGCACTACAAACTCTTAGAGTTTAGTAGAATCCTGTGGAGGTTAACACCAAATTTTTCTATCAGATGTCTTCCGCTATTTTCTGTTTATGATATTCTTCGTACATAGAACTTAAAGATTTTTGTAATGTGCGGAATGTTGGTCGTTCTGATGGTTTACGATACCAGCACGTTTTCATAACGTCATAAATAGGCTTTGGTGTGTTTTCTGGACAAGCCAAATGTTTACCCTCTTTAACAAATTTCACAACTTCTTCGTGAGTCATACCATAATATGGTTGTATCGCAAAAGCAAAAATTTCCCATAACACCACACCAAATGACCAGATGTCTGACTTGACGGAAAATTTATTGTAAAGAATGGCTTCCAATGGCATCCATCGAATGGGTATTGCATCATTTTCACTACCACGGTAATAATCCATACTATGAATAGTTCTTGCTAGTCCAAAGTCTGATATCTTTACCTTAAGATCATCGCCAACTAGACAGTTACGTGAGGCAAGATCTCGATGTACAAAACCCTTCTCTGATAAATACACCATACCACTGGCAATTTGTTTAGCTATATACAACTGGTTAACACTCTCTAATGTTGAATATTCATGAGAATAAATGTCACGAGAATGAGAATGAATGATGAAATGATCAGGACTACAAAAGCGAAGAAATTCGTTCAGATCACCTTTACTCATGTATTCAAACAGTAAACACATTGGTTTACCCACTGCACACACACCTAGTAATTTGACTATATTGGTATGGTTAAACTCCACCAATAGGGATGCTTCACGCTCAAAGTCGGATTGCAAATCATCAGATGCATCTTCTTTTAGCATTTTAACGGCAACCATCGTAAAATCTTCACCTTTTACTAGCTCTGGTGCTTTTGCTTTAAAAACACGACCAAAGGCACCTTGTCCAATATCGCGGATATACACAACATCATTTCTAGGAAATTCTAATCCCTCTAATTTAGGGTTCAACTTTGGCTTGTCTTTTACTCTATGATATAAAGAATTTTGAGGTAGTTTTGAAATATGTATTTCTAAGTCTTCTTGTGGTGTCGGGTCATAGTTAAATTGATTATTATTTTGAACACAAAGTTTATAACATAAAATCACCACTAGGACAATGATGAATATGGCCACGGCCGATACAATGAATATAATGATGATGGTTTTTAACTGAAATGGTTCAGCAGTAAGTGCATTGTTGATCTCAGCTCTTTCTGTTGTGGTTGATGTGTCTGAAAATATACAAATATTTGAATTATTTCAGAAGTTTATATAGTAAATTAAAGTGTGAAGGGCACAAATTACTCTAGGTTGAGTGGGGGAAGGCATTTTGGACTCCCCCCCCCCTCCCCTCACCATCAAAAACTCAAATCCCATTTGCTCTTCTAATTGGGGGACACGACCCTCTGGTTTACTCCCACCATGGATCCACCCTTGAATTCAAACAAAAGGTTGAATAAAAGGTTGAATGGTGTTGCCAGAAATTTGTTGTAAGGTGGGTGCTTAAGTTTGAATGATCAAAAGTCATTAAGCGGGGGGCTGAATTCTGTTTATGACATCTACAAGTAAGTTATGATTTTTTGACTTCATTTAAAGCAATTTCAGGAAATTTAAGAACATATTTAAATGTAATACTTGGGACACACCTATGGAAAAAACAGCTCTTTTTAAGCTAAATTCTCCTCACTGCCAATCTGATTAAAACACAGATCCTATTTCATTTCATTTTTTATAGTTCAAAATTTCGTTTTACTTGTCTTTACTTCACTAGGATCTGGAAGAGTTGTTATATTACCACCATTTTGGTTGAAGTAAGGGATAAGCCAATGAAACAGTCTGTTACGGTGACGTCTGGCATACAATGCACGGAACTGTAGGTAAACACTGATAGGTAAACTCTGATTGATTAATCAATGTCTGACGTCATAGGGTCAACTGCTCGTACGACCCCTGACAAGACCTTCAAATACAACTTGTCAGATCTTCATGTAGTGTAGGCCATCGAAAGTAATAAAAAAAAACGAAACGAAATATAGATCTGTATTTTGATCAGATTGCCTCACTGCATTGCAGTTTCAATATTACATTATCATAACTTCTACATACATTATTAAAACAAATATGGCCATGAGCTTAAAAACCATAGAGTTATTTAATGCCAGCAACTCCAGTCAGCTATTCTAAATTTATTGAGGAAAAGCCTGACTAAAATAGAGTGTTGATACATAACTTTTTAATATATAATAACAACACAATAAAGACATTAGATACCTATAAATAAATGTATAGAGTATTGGTCTATATTAATATTATGACATATTTAATACATGTTATCATTAATGATGTTTTCAAGATGTTATTATTTCTTACCACACTTTGGTATAGCGCATAGTTCCCAGCGGTGTAATTTATCCATGGTATAACACCATGGTTGGCTTTCTTCTTCGCCTGGATTTCTACAGTAATTTTCTGAATTTTTTAAGTCTAAGAAAACTTCTGGTGGTCGTTGATGTGTCTGAGGATGTTGGTGATCCCAGCGTTGACACGCAAGACCAGATTTTGTTACATTAACTGTACCATTATACCACTGTCCTTTACCTTTGTAACACTCACCTAAAATATACATAATAAATAAATAAAATATTGTTGATTGAGTATCATTCTATATAATCAGAAAGAGAGAGAGTGAAAAATGGGGTTTTACGTCCACTCAACACAAACTAGGTCATTTTGCAACGAATATATGGTACAATTTTTATTTCAATAATTCACCTGCACTTAAGCTGTGGGAGGAACCCAGGGGAACCTCGGTATCCCCAGTGGTATTTTCTGTTCTATTCCACTAACCCCTGTGTCCATTCACAGGCGAGACTATAGTGAAATTATGCGCCCATGATGCTATTTTTATTGACCCAACAAATAACTCCATAAATAGAAAGTGAGTGGGCGAAGGGAAGGAATTAATCGCTGTTGCAAACTTTGTCAAAATATTTTATGATATCCTTTTGGGTGCATTTCACTTCTTTGATATTAAATTTCTTGCAAACCTTCTCATAATCCAGCGTACAAGCTGATGTATTATGGCGAACGTAAACAATGACCAAAAGACTGATATGTTTAAAACTGTATTTGATTGGTTCAAAGAATCAACCTACATGGCCAATGAATTCATCAAGGACAGATAATTTGAATTCGTGAAAACCTTGTGAATGGGCTCGGGGGTTAGTGGAGTAGAATGGAATAATTCCACTCGGGATACTGATTTGAAGTGCATGCATCAGGCCACCAGACCCCCCTCTATATAAGCTTATAAACCTGTAACTGTAAATCTCTTTGATCTTTGGGGTATATTCTATGCCCGGAATAACTTGCGGTCTGAAAGTCGGGGGAGGTTTTGGATATATACAGGGAGATTTGGGGTTATTCTTCTGAAAGTTTTTCTTTAAACCTGTAACGGGTTATTCTTCCAGGGTAGGTTTTTTTTCCCATAAGAAAACATGATATAAGGTTTTTCTTGTGGGAATTCTGGGATATTCTCATCTTGCGTACATGTAAACATAGACGGTCTATAAGCAAGATAAAGTCCTCGACTTCGGTTATCCCGGGGAAGAAAGACTTCAGAAAAAACCCTCACCAGATAACCATCGGCTAACCGGCCTCGGTTTTTCTTTCTCTCCGATTATTTTCTTTAGTCTTTCTTTCCCCAGCATAACCTCAGTCTCGTGCTTTATCCTACACATATAGTTACCAAATTCAGTTTGTACTTTCCCTACTCATTGGGCAAGCAAAATTCAGAGAAAGGAAATTAACACATTTATTAGAGATAAACTCTGACTGAGAAGAACAGATCCAGTAATTTTAATTAATGAGCTGGAATATATCTTTTTATAAACTTAGCATTAGATAAAACCCTAAAATAATAATTATATGTTTATTCAGTCAAATTTGGTTTAATCAATTCTATTTTAACATAAAAATATTACATTAAGCTAATCTCATCAGAGATTACAGCAATAACTCAAAGCATTCATATTATCTTACAAAATACATATATACATTTGACTAATCATAATATGACCCTAGGTTTATTTTTCTTTGAAAAACCTGAAAGAAGGTGTAGAGATTGAAAGATTGTGGAATCTATTTCCTTTCCAACAGCCTCAGCAGCTCTATCATATTTATACATGTCTTTCATGTTTACTACTATTCTCTACTATGGCTTCAATTTCTCTGAATTAGGAATCTTTAGTCAATAAAAATGTCATTTTGTTCACACCCCTCTCCTCTGTAATGCAAGTAGGTTATTATTTTTATATATTATATTATCATCTATAAGAGGATGTTTTTTTAACATTTCAACTGACAATATGAAAACATCACCCCACGCCCCTTTTTTTTTTATATCAAATCTCCATAACATTGTCTGTTATTTCTTCACCTCTCCATTATAACATATACACTTTAAAACAATTAACATTGTTTGCAACCAAGAGGAGCATATAAAATATCTGTTAAGCCAGATTTAAATTTTACTAGGAATAAGCGCCACTTTACCTCTGTGTTAAAATAATTCAAGAATAATAATATTATGCTTTAACACCAATCTGGGGTAAATATTAGTTTGGCTTGTGTAAAATATGTGTCAGGTCTTTCTTAACAGCTGAAAAATCGGTAACTGTCAGACTTTATATTTTTATTCCCATCAGAAAAATTTGGAAACAGAATATATGAACATGTTTAGTTCAGCCATGACATTTTGAAACTGATGGTGAAGATCTTTAGGATTCATGTTTCGAAATTTTCAAGAAGGAAAAAAGTTGCCTTGTTGCTTAATCTGTTAAAGTCATCTCCCGAGAGGTCAAAAAGGTTATGAGTTAAACCTCATTTTTTGATAGCAATTATTTATTTAGTTGTTTAAGACTTTCGAAGTTTATTTTTCAATGTTCAAGAAATGGTAATACAATGTACTCTGCTTTCAATCTTGAATCTGAAGGCGTCAACATTATTTTCTTCTATGTAAAGAAAGTTTGTATCCGGATAAAGCATTAGGAAAGAGACCACCAACTATCAGTTTTTACAATGTTTATATTATTTTACTGATACTGTTTCAATAATACTGGTACTACTTTTTTTTAATACAATTTTATCTCATCTCACCTGACCTCAGCAAGTGATACAAAACTGGACCAGAGGCCTATTTCAGTGGAAAAAAAGTGTCATTTAAAATAATTAGATTTATATGCTATCTCGATTAATGAATGTGTAATTTGTATTCTATCTTGATTACTGTAATGATTTGTAATCATCTAAAATAATGAATTTGGAATTTGTATTCTATCCCGATTAATAAATGTGTGATTTGTATTCTATCTTGATTAATGAACGTGCAATTAGTATTCTAACTTGATTAATGAATGTATGATTAGTATTCTAACTTGATTAATAAATGTGTGATTTGTATTCTATCTTGATTAATGAACGTGAAATTAGTATTCTAACTTGATTAATGAATATGTGATTAGTATTCTATCTTGGTTAATGAATGTGTGATTTGTAATATATGTACATGTATATAGCAAAAAGGTTTTACTCAGATCTGTATCATCGTGTAACACACATTTAGTCTTCAAGATTTACAATTTTTTTGATTGATATAAGATGTGCTAAAGAGAAGAATGATTGCTCAATGACCTTTAAAGATGTCAAAAACATGCAGTTGTAATAGTTTCTTCATGACGAAAAAGAGAGATTTGGGGCAAATGTACAGATATATAACGCAACAGAGGGAGGTCCCTTGTCTTTGAAGTTTTACAAATATTTCTTTGTCTAACAGGAGGTAAAAATCATAATATTTATCTTGAAACGAATAAAGAGTGATGAAATTGTTACATAATATAAATTTAAAATGTAAAACACTAGTGGCAAATTATACAAGAAAAGAGCTTTTTAATTGATTACTTAAAGGGAACTAATGCATTTTTAAAGCATAATTATGTATCAAATTTTCTCCTAAAAAACAAACTCTCTCTTCCTGTTTGTATTTCGTTCTTCCTAATTTGGGGCTTTTGGGATGAATAAAGTCTTTGCACTTATTAATATAACAATTTGCTTATTTTTGATTGAAATAAATATTACGATAAAGACAAGGATCCTATGACAACATATACTAATTGTTTCATTATATAATCCTAGATATTCAACAATTACAGACACATATCTTTTTTTATGAATTGAAGTTCTACCTTTTAGCACTGTTTTTTTACATGTATGAGAGATCAAATAACTGTATAATGGTCTAAAATATAAACTACATCAATACAACCTATCAGATTTCATACACATAATCTAGTTTCATTTTTATTGCATAATAAAATGATAACTCTCTTTTTCCTAGTTATTATTACCTCTTCATTCGTTTCTTTAGTAGTGGATTTGTTGAAATATTTCAGGACATTATAAAGATAATTTGTAAATACTTTGTGATCATATTACTGTCAAATTAGGCAACTATAAACCCAAAGACCTTTTAGGCTATGATCTGTATGTTTTTAATTAACATTATAAAAATACAACATTAGAAAAAGAAGTATAGTACAGATTCAGCGTTTTATGTTCTGGATGACAAATGGTAAAGTAAATAAACCATTTGATGTTGAAATTGACACAGCAAATGGGATTTTATTTTGCAAAATATCTATCTTCTGAGTTTGTTTCAATGGTATTTAGATGTTGGTTGAATAAAACTTATTTATTATTGTATGCTGTTCTGAGAATTCTGGTTTTCTAAACTGGGTGTTCTAATTGTTAACAAGAGTAACGGCTAGACTTACTGGATACTTCATCAAGTCTTTTCTCAAACAAGTGACCATCTGTACATTTACTAGCACTATCCCACATAGAGGGCAGTTCTTGACAGTTAGGCAATCTAAAGTGGGCTCGGTTTAGGAAATATATCCCGTCGGTTTTATTCTCTAATATCAAATTCCACTGTTTGTAACATAGTAAGTCTTTAACAGCCAAACAACTCTCTCTGAAAGTGAAAAAAAATCATGTTTATTTAAATTAAAGGCCTGTAGTAAGTAAAAGTGGGAGTTAATAGTTCTCTATTTTCTCACACTGTACAGTTGTCCTTGGTATAAAACAAGTGTGTAATTGGAACAGACAAGGGAAATGGAGATTATATTTTTGTCTTGAAAGAAAACTATTTACATCATAATCATTAAAACAACAGTCACAAGATGTAAAAATCATCTGTACTTAAACCTAGGGACATAAAAATGAAGTGATGTTTGAAATCTGACAGCAGTAGCCTGACCTCAGTTGACACAAGTAATTTCAGGCTTGCAGCTGTCTTGATTGACTGGTACTGCCTTGTAAACCCAGTTCACAGGCAGACTGTTTACCATATGGTGCCACTGATTCCTGTAGAAAAACCACTTGTGGTTCAAATTAACTAAATTTAAACACTAACAACAACCTTTAACTCTTTTTACTTTCAACAACCTTATTTATATCTGCTGGACTAGTATACCTATCAATTATATTTTATCAATGTACACACTACTCTAGATATAGATAAATATATAAGATTCTAGTGAGAGGAAACATTGACTGTATATAACACCAGTTCTAATTGGCTTATTAACCACTTGCCATCTGGTATCAATCTTTTTTTTTCTGTTTCTTGCTTTGACAAGTTTTGAAATGTTACTGTATCACACCCTTTCTGGTGATCGTCAAAACAATAACATCTTAAACAGGAAATATTGCCTTTTTTGATCACAACTTCCAAGTTATAATGCATGTCAATTTCTCTGCAAAACGGAAATGTTAATAAGTTCCATGGATGTTCATTTATAATTTTAAGATGGGACACCATTAAAATCACACAGAGTTGAGACATGTGCATGTAAATTTGTGATTACATTAGCAGGACATCTGTCTTCACTTGTACAATTTAGCTAAATGAATTTTTATTTTATTTTAAAGGAAATACATCATCTCTATTTATTCTCAGATTAAAACACATTAAAATTGTGGAAAAAGTGTAGGTTCATGAACACTATACAGATGCTGAGCATTTAAGTAAAAGGAATAAAAGCTAAATGCATATATTATATGACTACCACTTTACTTCCATTTAAAATAATCAAGCTATAAAAGTACAACAAAATTTCAACAATTATTACCATTTTGCTAAACCTAATTTTATAGCATAAAGGTTTATCAATCCATGAGAATAATTCCAAAGTTGGGATGTGGACAGTTCCCATTCCCAAAATACTTAAGTGTTAAAAGTAACTAAATGAAGAAATACCAACATCTTTATAGTAATGATCTGTCAATGTTATTTGTCTGACTTTATCTAATTTAAAATTGACGGGACTTACTTGTCCAATATTATTATATAAGGTAAAGTATCTCACCTGCATAAAGGGTAGGGCGGTGTTGGATCACCAATATTATCACAGTCAGGAAAAGCATAGTGACAGAGTAATTTTTTAGCTGGAACTTTACACATAGAATCAAATAATCTCTTTTCATTCATCTCTTTTAACAAACGTACAACTATATCTTCATTCATATGATAGGTATTGTTATAATAGGATGTGTTGTAAAATACAGGTTGTGACCCAAGTATATCTCTACATATTGTACCATTATATGTGGCACAATGACCATTAGGACTGAAAAACATCAAAATACATAAATATTAGAATAAAGCAAATCATAACATATTATTATGAATTGCAAATGCAGTCTTCTCTTAATTACATTCCTTAATCTCCATAATTAAACAAAATGAAGCACCTAATTATAATGCAGAATGACAAAGTATAAGCTGCACAAAAGTTAGTATCATATTCAGCCACTTATTAGACAATCTGGCTTACATTATCCTTCAAAAATGGGGGGGGGGGGTTTAATAATAAATTTATCTAACGTATTGTTTTAAAAGTATTTCTGAAGTTTAAAAGAAATATATCATTTAATTTACTCTTTAATGCCAGTAAGATTCAAGAATAAATCCTGCCAGACTTCAGTTTAAGGTAAATTTACAATTCTAAAAATACAAGTGGAGTACTGTTTGTATCTGTTTAATTAGATCTTAAATCGGAACACTTATTCAAATAACAACATGTCCAGTCTTTGTTTCATCTACACTTATCTTTCATTTACAGAAAATTTAATCAACAAATTGACCTTTTCGACCTTTCTGCTAGAATACAAATCTTCCCATGTCTACATCACTATCAAACAGTCATTAAAGAGTTTTAGATCTGTCATTTTAATCAATTTATGTGGATGTTTTGAGGTGAAGTACTGGTTGTTTTGATGGCATGTTTTCCCACAAGCTGTCTAAATACAATGACCAGTTGGTTTGACCAAATTGAGCTGATCTCCCCGCCTGCTACAAGCTTTCTAACTATTGAAAACATGCTGCATGTGATCAGTGAACATATGTTTGCTGGCCTTTTATTTATTTACAGAAAATTGTGACTGCTTGTTTAAGTGTGCAAGAGGCTTTATAATCATATTGGGGAAGAAAAGAAACCATGGTTTATTCAGCCTGTGTTCTAATTTCAAATATGTTCTTCTACCATTCTTCCAGTCTCGAAAACTATTTTTTATACACACAAACTCTGATTCTGTCAAAATATTTTTTCAGTGCATGGAAGCGAGGTTTTTCTTAGGTTTTACATGGAATTACCAAACTGTTTATGATCGAGCAGACAGATGCACTTTCGACAAGTTGCACGTTAAATTTGTTTTACGATGTATTACCTCCTCATGGCCAACAGCATCTTATAAACCAAATCAAATTTTTTCCTAGAAACTAGATGTAATGTGTGACTCATGCTATCATATCAGTGTTTTCTGACTATTTATATGATAGAAATTAGTATCTGGTGATGCAATTACATAAGAAATCTCCTAGTAATAGTACCTTAGCTTCAGCAAACATTTTATATCATATAAACCAAATGGAGAGAAATTCATACCACATGTATTTGATACCTCTAACGTGATTTTGTCAGTAAGGAAAAGTATTTTATTGAAAGGTTAAATGAAAAGGTACACTGCTACAGAATTTAATCTGCATGTTTTATTTGATGATAGTTTATCAATACCATCATCTCCCTCAAACATGTTTCGAAATTTGTAAAATCTACAGCAAGCCTCGCAGAGTTAAGATGAACTAAATGTTTCTCTTATGAAATACAAATTGACAGTAAATTTTTACTTAGATAAAACTAATATTTTCCCACTCATTTTCACATATAGCTAGATGAACATTAAATGTATGTGGTTATTTGATGGAAGATCATCTACATGATAACCTGCCAGTTATTGCCAAATATTTCATTATTTTACACAAATGTACTACTGTAAGATAAAAATGATAAATTGTTTCATAAAATATATCTCTTTGGAATCACTGTTAAAGTAAATTGTTCATTATACAAATTATCTCCAATTTATACCAGGAACCCTTTTTCTTCAATGATTAACTTCCGCTTTCAGACAAACCAGGAACCCTTAACCTGCACATCTTAAATTCATGTATTCGTGAATTCTTACTTAAACACTGTGGATCATAACTAATTTAAAAGTCTTGGGTTGGGTTCATTTTTAGATATAGTTTGGGAAATAATGGGTTAAATATACATGTGAATGGTAAGGTACCACTGACAATAATTAATGTACTTTGATCTACAAGATTGAAGTTTTTTGTGAATAAGGTCCCTGATTGACAGCTTTCCTATTGTAGCAGAAATACTGTTGATTTATAACTGAAAGAAATCTAGAAACAGTCCCTGTTAAATCTATGTTTTATTATCAGTGAAAACAGAAGTTAATTAGTGTTAAGATAACTCCTGTTTCTGTAACAGTATCTTAAGAATGTTCAAGATAGATGTACAGACTGCTTCTATCTTTGTACTGTTAATCGTCTGTAACTTGCAGAAGATAACACAATCATAATCTTTCATTAAAACTGTACAGTGTATCATTTTGTTGCATTTAAAATTGAAACCATTTTATACAGATAAAACGGTTATTTAAAGGCACAAATCTAGCAATCATTTACAAACTGTACAATATTTTATTTGAAATATTCAATCACGGTAAATAGGCTATATCATCCTATTTTGGACTTAGATTTACATAACTATTTCATAACATTTAGGACTTTGAATTACATAAACTATATCGTCACATCTTGGCAGTCTACTGTGAAGATTAATGAAAGAAGATAAAGGAAAATTATTGCAGAAGCAGATGTTAAATACCAATCAAGCAAGGTAATTTTCAATTGTGGTGGGTCTGATAGAGCACCACAGGAATTAATGTACTAAAAGTCTACAAAGTGCATTATTAATAGTTTTTATCAAAGTTCAAAATAAATTGCAAATATAATTTTAACTGATACAGCTTCTTTTTTTGTTTTTGCTCATTAACAAAAAATTGTGAACATGGACCTCCGTGCTAATCGAACAGGATTGTTATAAAGTTAATTTCTCCCTGCTAAGAGGATAATTTACAGGAATCATATAAAAAAAATCTATTTTGATCTGGAAATGTTTTTTATCTGTTACTCTGATAATACCTTACACCTGAATGGTTTCTATTTCTACTTTAATTTGTTTAGTACCCGTTGATAAAGAACAGACTACACCTTGCTGGTATTTTTCTTCACCCGTTTTAATGTATGTATTTATAAAACACTTGCATTTACCGAAGGCAAACAACCAATTAAGCCAATCTAATGTAAGTGTTAATGGTTAATGACTGATAAAAAACAAAGCATGTCATGTTAAATCAACTTTAAAAGCATCAGGCTGTTTTAAAATTCATGAGATGGATTCCTGATGTGATCCTAATTAGTGTTTTAAATTATTCTATCAATTACTTTAATTCATTCTGGTGTGATACCAAATGGATTTATAAATAAAAGGATTATACTTTTGATATGTAAAACTTTTTACAATACTGGGAGAACAATAAGCATAGATTACAAATGAAATGAAATTGGGTTTAATGTCCTACTGTTCAGCTTTGACGTTGCTAATGAAGACGGGCATAGATTACAAAGACTACAAAGTCACATTTTCAAAAGTTAATGTTTGGTAATGTACAACCTACTTGTAATGAAACAATGATCATACCTCAATTTTAGTGACTTCTTCTTTAAAATCAGTTTTTATACAAAGGTACCTACCATCATGATAGATTATTTGATGGCAGCGAGACATTTAACCTCATTGGGTGAACCTTCGTAAAGCCATACTCTACATGAATTTTGTGTGATTGCTTTTTAAGTTACTAGGGAACCTTTAATACAAAACATTTGAAGGTTCTCTTCTTTTGATAATTTCTCTGTTGCTATGAGTATTTGTCAGGCACACAACTATTTCACCAGATCATATATAGGATGTCTGAACTTTGAAATGCTTTCAATATTGACATGTCTAGGAAAGGGGAAAGTTGTCATAATTGAGTTTTGGCATTATGTTCTTTGTCAGTTTTCTGTTCTTAAAGAAAAGAATATTGTGTTTCTGGAAGATTCAATTGTATATAAATTATTTATCACTGTCTGATTACATCATGAAAACATCTATTTTCTGTTCACAAGGCTTTGATCATCTCCTTAAATATACATGTACCAAAAGATTATTTTTCAAAACTAATTCTTTAAACTTTAAAAAAAAAGAAAATCTTATTTAATCCCAGCACTCCACCCAAAATATTTTCTTCTTAAAGTTTGAAAGTATTTGCTGTAAAGTTTGTTTGTTCAGTTTTTTTTATATTTTGAAGTTGATAAATATTTTTACTTCAATTAAATTCAAAATCTTCAAAAGAGACACCAGATATTGGTAACTACTGTTTGCTATGAATTTTTTTAAAGTTCAAATCTCGGCTGGATTGTAAGTTTATAAGAAGAACTTATCAGTAGTGTTTAAAAAATAAATCCAAACATGTTCTATTCAAAGATGGGCTTATCTGATGAGGGCACACTCAACTTGCAGGAGGTCAATGTCTTTATCAAATTAATTTCTATATGAAGGTATCTACATGGCACCCTGGGAGTTAGGCTGCTTTAAGATGATATTTCAGTTGATGTTTATCGGAGCTAAATGTAAATATTGGTTCAACTTGGCCACCGAGCCTAAGGCATGAGACATTTTACACCCATTTTACTTTTGTATAAACTTTTTGTACCAAACCACATCTTTGAGATAAGGATATATCAAGTAATGAAGCCTTCCTTAACTACTTTAAAAAAATTGAACTTCTTATCTCCTTTAAAAAATGTTTGCTTTGCCAGATAAAAAAAAATGGTAGAAATTGTTCAGTGTTGTGTATCTCAAATATCTTCTATATTACTGTTGAGTGAGATAAGGAATTAAGAGATAATATACCATTACAGAAAAAATATATCCAGTCTTTGTTACCCGTCATCATCTGTGTTACTATTACATCAGTTTGTTTTTATAAGACAACCAACAGAACTAATTTAAGTAAAGGATTAATTTCAACTGATCTGAACTCATTAATGGAAGGCTTTGTATATTTAGTTTTAAAAAAGAAATTGTCTGTTTATTGTTGTGTAAATGATTTATTGTTCCTTAGATTTTTATTGTCAAGTCGGATCAATATAAATCTCCAGACATGTACATATCCCACACTCACCTCCCACTTCCAATGAGACATGCATGAAAGTTAATTAATGAAATAAATATTATTAAACACTGTTAATGTTTATATATACATCCACCGATGATTTGACTGATTTTTTTTTTATCTTTTTATATCAAACTTTAATTGACAGTCATTATTCCTAACATGTGTACACTATTTACACCAGGCATGCTATTTGTCTATACTATATTTATTATCAAAGGTGTTTTATGTATTGTTATAATAAAACAGAAGGAAATATACTGATATATATTCAGGTTGAAGTCATTTCTCTATGGGACAATTCATCTACTTAATAATATAAACCAGATTGGTAGGTTATGCAGTAACTTTAATCCTAGACCATGACATACCAGAATGGTGTTTATTTTGTCCACTCCACCCATATAGAAATAGCAGACTTGTTTATCAACGCACAAATACAAAAAAAACTTTTTGAAGGCAAAACATGGAAGTGAAATTCAGAATTTTGTGAAATACTGTAAACATGTTTTCTTATGATATGCATTACATATGTGACCTGTTAAAACATGGACCTTATAATATGTATTATAAGGTCCATGGTTAAACAATAGACACTGTATTGTTCTCAAGGGATTCATTTTCATACCTTGTGTTTTGCTAATGTTTATAAATGACATCAATTATGTTAGGTGAAAATTTTTCATATTTTGTAAATTCTATACATAGTTTAATTATTAAGAATTAGATCAGGGTTTTTTGTTTTATCTATCTTACATTATTTCAATTTTTAAACCTGTGTTTTTAACTCCTCTTGTCACAAGGTATAGCATCAAAATATACAATGACATACTACAGATTTTTTATATGATTCCATATATGATAGAATTTTTTTAGGGCAAAATACATCATTCATCTTGATATCAGTCATCAGTTATAATTTTAGTTGTGTCTCTTATTACCAGTTGCTATTCATGTCCATGCATTTCTTCTAGACTTCATTAACCAGTGTAAATAAATAACATGTTTAAACTTCAACATGTTAGACTAAATAATTGGATATGCTTAGATCTGATATATGTATTTTTTAAAAAATAACAAAATTCATCTGTCCAACTAAGAAAAACCTAGACTATGTAACATCTGTTTACAGATCAAGCATTCACTAAAAACTGATAATGTAATATGGTACTCAATGTTTTCTGTTTTATTTCTCGATTAGTTGTGTCTGACATCAAGACCTATTCTATGATCATCTAACAGGATTTAACTAGATTACATTATCTGACACTTGTCAATGATGCTAGATCTGTTACCCAGTGTAAATGTTACAAGTTATTGAAAACCCCAGGTGCATGTCTCTTATATAATGACATAATTCACTTTTTATCAGTATTTTTTTTTTCAGAACATAACTTTATCTTGGCCATTTGGAAAAAAAAAAATGTATATTTAAAAAGATATGAAGTTATCAAGTTTGTTATGAATTTTTTTTCCTTCACTTTTTTTTATATATCTTTGGTTGTGTAGACTAAAACCATGGACATAAAAAAGCTGACATGTACAATTAATTATAGTACATGGTACATCAATATGGCTAATAAATGGATTTATTTCAATAAAACGTATTTATCTAATTCAACTCACCTTGATGATCCAGTATTATCAGCTATAAACAGGCACATGAAAAAAATAAAGAATAGCATAAGTTTTTTTATTAACTTCATATTGTCATTTCTGTTCAAATTTCAAAACTGGAAAAAAAATATAATAAGTCTCCTGGTTTAGTCTTCAGTCTGCAAAACATGTCTTGCTCCCATACATATGGTACTGTTTTATATAACTGAACACAACACAATTTCAGAATGAAAATAGAATTGTTCTAAACACACATGTTGAATATGTCCAAGATGTGGTCCCTAGTATAAAATGTCAACGAACACTTTAACTGTCTCTAAACAGTTTGAATGTATTGGATCCAATTAAGATAATTAAGTATTGAAACAATCCATGTGTTGTCTGTAACATGTAAACACTGTCCATCACTGATAGTCTACTCTAGAATGTTTCATGTTCATTCATGAAGCCACTGAAACACTTCAAAGAAATCTATTCAGCTCAACCAATCCATTTCATGTTATTCCATGGGGACGGTGTAGCTAGTATGTTGTATAAATACAGTGTACTTGGCGCCACTAGAGTGATATGGTGGAACTCTGCCTGAAAATCTAACACCTGTCAGTCAAACTGCTCCAAGGAATTGAATCCTGATTAAAGTTGATAACTGAAAGTTTATCTTAATATCTAAAACATTCACAACACTTCAACAAAATTAAAACTTTATCTACATGAAAGAATTATGTTTAACTTTCTAGGGAAATCAAAATCACTATGAAATGTATGTCTTTAATGATTTTTCATTTCATTTTCCTCTTTTCTGTAATCAAATTGTGAAATTTTGTCCTCAAAACATAATTAATTTTAATTTCGTTAAAAAATTTCTTCCAACAAAAATTATGAAATTGTATTAAAATTGCATAACACGTCAATTTATCAGCTGCAAATGATTACTATTTTATGTTTTTGTGTACCATCTGATCAACTAAATTCTTTCAATAGACAGTCTGTCAAATGACATGTTCTATGATAAAATAATATTTATGCCAACACAGTATCTTACTCAGTTCGATCCAGAGGCGTGGGGGGGGGGGGACTAGCTGCCCTTCTAACTTTCGGGCAATGTGACTTTTCGGGCAGATGGGTGAAGTGAAAAAAAAAAATTTAATTTCATCTAGTTGGCAAAATAAAGTGCCCGAAACCTAATAAAACACTATTGAATACCACAAATTTGTACTGAATTGACTATGGATTAAAACATTTTGTCTGGAGCCACTCTACTTTGTGCGACATTTTTCGGGCATCGATTATTATTTGTGAATGCAGCTCCAACAATCTGATTGGATGGTTGGAATTGAACTCTTTATAGAGTGGGATTTCGGTTGCAAAACGATTGGAAACTTGAAGTTACTGCTATTCCAGCCCCCATACCTCGCGACGATTGATTGATTGGGATTCAGGTCAGCCACCTAAGGTAAGCTATATTGGACCACACTAAAGTTGTTGTATTCATGGGCTGGAATAGCAGAAAAACGTGTTTGTGCATTTAAATTTTCAAAATTTCTCCCGATGGACCCCTCTCCATACACTGTGAATGATTGATTGGTTGATGGGAATTTGGGTCACCCACCTAAGTTAGGCTACATTAGACCACTTTGAAGTTGCTGTACTCACTGGCTGGAATAGCAGGAAAACGCGTTTGCGCCCGTCAAATTTTCCAATTTTTAAATTTTCTGGGGCATTTCAGGTTCTGCCCCCATAATATTTATCGAGCCCGTAAGCCTATGGTTCGACCAAAGGACGTATAATACAGTGAATGAATTGAAAATGGTCATATATTGATATATCTTATCAATAAATGACAAGGTACAAAAATATATAAATATGATTGTAATGATTATTAAACAATTTGTAATAAAATTTGAAATATATTTATCAAAGATGGGGATATATCATAACTATCATCCATTCATTTGAATTTTATGGACTCTAATCAACATTACTCTAAGATAATAATTCATTTCTAATTTAATCAAGTGGAAGGAATTTAAATGATTAAGAGATGTTTGTAAGTGACCACAGAATTAACATGTCAGATATAATTACCAGATGAACCTGTATATAAACATATGGTGACTTATCAAACACATTGATTACATAGCAGAGACCTGGGATCAAGTATAGTACTGATAGTAGTTATACAGTCACACCCTAGAGAAATATCGTGATTGGTTCTACTATCACATCTCCACCAGTAAACATTGATATGTTTGACCCCTGTGTTATACTTCTTAAATAATTACACAAACGATACTGATCACCCAGAAATCAAATTAATTCAACAATGCCCTTGATATGAATCAGTACGCTACTGAGAATTCCATGATTGTACTGGCTCAAAATAATATCCAAATAGTTCTAGTACTTTTGTAGAATTCTTAACATATACTGTAAAAAGGTGCTAAAGTTAAACTGGTTTTAAAACAACAGCAATCGTTAAAACAGTTTAACTTTGTCATCTGAATGGAAAGGTGGGGCCAATAACCCAGTTTAAAAACCCCAACTCTCTACCTAACTTCAAGAAGACGCTTCTTAAAAGATGGCTTATCTTGGCCATCTGAACCCTGGGCTCCAGGTAGCTTTGGTCACACATAGTAAGTTACCTCCCTGGTAAAATGACGACATGTGCCCATGCGTAATCAACTCTTACCGACGAGGTCAAAAAAGTTAAACTCATTTGGTTTACAATAAGTGTGAACACTACATTTCTACAGCTTAAAGGCTCAATACCACTCTTGTTGTAACTGAATAATATGTCCCAATCTTTATTCTGGTCAACAAATTGTACTATTTTAGAATATTTCAATTAATTGATGATACAAATTTCATCTTAACACATCTTATTTAAAAATTTTGAAAAATTCAACATAATGGTTTGAAACGTCTACCGTAAACCTTTTCAAATGAAACTTCGATTTAAAAATATTTTCGAACCCTCTGGACAAGTAAAATAGGATGTAATGGATAATTTACACAACAGGTAGGACACTTAAACATCTAGTACTTATAAGATAGAGATATTATTTATTTTCTGGAGCTTTCAAGCCAGCAAGAGTGTTATTGTCCCTTTAAAAACACCAAGGTTTAGAATTAGTTTAAATATAAGCATCTGAACAGTCTATAACAGGTCTTCCAGTCAGTCGATCTGTCTATGAAAATCAAAAAGTTACTTCAAACAGAAAAACCTTTATTTCACTCATATTATAGAGGTCCATAAAAATAGATATTTATAGTCAAATCATCAACTTCTAAACTTTGTATTTTCAGAACCAATCCCATACCATGAAAAATAAACTAAAATGTTTAGTGTATATATCTTCTTGCATAAACTAGTTATCTTTTTATCGAAGATTATAATGCTCATGTTGTCTTTTTTCTTCCAGAAAATTTGAACTTGTAAATCAAGCTGGCTTTGTAAATCTACATAACTATATCTTAGACCTCATATTTAGACCTTATCATTCCTTACCATTTTATCAGTGATAGACATGCATTCATAAATACCTCTTTCAATAATTAAGTTTAATGCTACCAGTTACAGGCCTAGTGAGGATCTTACAATGATGTTTTTGTAGTTGTGTTATTATTCCACACTTATCGCCAAACACATCGCAAATCTAGACATTCTACTCAATTTATTTATTGGTCTAATTGATAAGGCATATTTGGGAAAGAACATGAATGATAAAAAGAAAACAAATATATTTCTGGTCCAGTAATATTAGGATATTACTGGGAAAAAAACAGATGGGCCGTTGGGCAAGTTATTGCCTTGTTAAATAGAAATCTAAACTATAAATTGACTGTCTAACTTTTATGCACTTGTATTAACTTCCTCTCTCTATGAGACATCAAAGCATAGTGTATATATATATTTGGTAAGTATAATTTCATTTCGAGACCTTTAGGTTATTGAATGTACTCATGCAAATATCAGAAAAGGTTATGTACGTCTAGTCTATATTATAGCACAAAATGGGTGCAAAATACCACATTGATTAAGAAAATTTGTACTTTCAATCTTTTTCAAATGACCTGTAAGTTCCTGCTAAAATCAAAATTTAATTTCCTAGATCTTATTTGTAAACACATTTAATGATCCTTGGTGTAATTAATGAAAGGAAAAATGTATGTTTATGTTACCAGTTTTACATTTCAATTTTGACTGAATATAAAATGTACCAGTACTTGGATTGGTAATAAACATTAATTAAAATATATTTATCTGTTGGCACTCAGTTTTATGTTTTTCATTTAGTAGCAAAGAATAATCTCTGGCACTACTGTTCACAAACGATCAAGAAAATTTGCCATTTTTGGTCATTCTGAGCTTACATTTACATAAACTTTATAAATACCAACACATTTCTTATAAGTAAGAATTTTGAAGACTGCCAATTTGTTACAGCTTATATATATAGTAAACAGACAAAATCTCTCAGCAGTTTAAAAATTAGAAATTTTAGAGTTAAAAGTTTATAAAAAAAAAATACTCTTAATGGTATTTTACTGTTATTTTACTTTAGTAGATTGTTTGATGTTAGCTAATTTACTATATCGCTGTAGTTCATAAAATTAGAAATTTTAGAGTTAAAAGTTTATAAAAAAAAATACTCTTAATGGTATTTTACTGTTATTTTACTTTAGTAGATTGTTTGATGTTAGCTAATTTACTATATCGCTGTAGTTCATAAAATACAAAGACTCTACACAATATATCATAGCAAACACCTGTATGTATATCTACCAGTGGAAGTAAAACAGACTGGTCTACTGTTCACTTTATTTATCCTCTATGTTTCCTGTCTCTTCTTAGTACAACAAGTGGCTGTTTCATTCACAAAACAACAAGGTGTATAACTGGTTTACATTATGTCAATATCAATATAGCCCAGTTGTATATAAATATTACACGTTAGTTTTGGCTCAGTTACCATACTACCTACAAATTAACAAAACTTGTCAATCCTTGATGTCTGTCTTATATACTAAATCTGATTCAGTCAAAATATAAATACTGCAACTGATCAAACAAAAACCTTGATGAACTAATAACAAAACAACAGAAGGCACTTTAAGAATGTTGCCAGTGGATACAGAATTCTGCACTGATTAACCATTTCATGAAATTGCATAGACCCCTCTGCACCATAAAAGCTTATTGTTTAGTAACTAATTAGAAATGTTATGTCTATGCAGGAAATGTGGAGAATTGGTACATATAACATATAATCATGGGTGTACAGAACTCAATCAATCGAACAATTAAAGGTAGAGATTTACCAGTTCTTCAACTACAGATTATCCATTGTTCCATCTATATTGGAAATCTGGTACTTTGACCAAAAAGTAACAATACTTGATCTTAAACTTAACTTTAGAAATTGATTTTATTCATTCTTGTTCGAAAAAATCCTCTGAAGCTCTTCACTGGGCTTCGACATTTATCTCTGTGCTTATCTACTTTATATAATCCAGAAATCTATAAACGACTTGAATTATGTTCCCATAAAATAATGTGCCACTCCTTTTAATTCTAATACTACCCTAATAATTAGATGACCTTACTACTATTACCGGCTTGTAGAATCCTCAAGTCTTTGACATTTGATAGTACTTTATTTTGGGTGGGTCAGTAATTGGCCAGATTGTGATAACAGTGATGTAAAAATATTGATGAAGGTAGTAAATAAGTCAGAGGGAATAGTTTAGATTTGATGTAGCACGTGTGATATCAAAGGATAGATCAGTAGTCAAACTAGTGAAACAAACTAACTATGCTACCTCAACTTCTCATAATAACACAAGAAGCCAAAAATCTACCTTCATCTCTACCACACATCAAAACATTCCCACTACAGATACAACCTTTAATTTACTATTTACTAAACACAAGAAGTCCATCTCACTAATTCTCACTACAGAACTTGGTAAGTAATGACAAGCTACAACTCTGAGATGGAGGATCACAGATGTAAAATAGTATATTATCAATCATCCATCAAGATCCAACATCAATAGAATGCTCCATTACATTTTATCCCTTGTTTATAAAGCTTGGTCAGTAGTGAACACATGTTTTATCATGTTCATTAATATCTTCTACTTGGTTCACTCTCTGACCAGAACAAATTTTATAATAAATTTAATAGAGACGACCATTAAAAGCAAACAAAGAAAATTTGTCGATGAGAAAATGCAACTCGGTATATCATTCTTTTAACTGCCCATTAAAAATTATCATTAATTCTAATACCACAGTAACAATTCAAATATTCTGGATTTAATTTAGTGAATAATAACCTCAAATCAATGAGATTTTATATTTGAACAACCATGCCATATTGGGCAAAAGAAATAAAAAGAAGAAAATTTTATTACCTAGGAGATAAATACGCGCAGTTTTTTTATCTGTTTTAGTTCCACCAATATGATGATTTGTTGCTTCACAGACATATCTAGCCACTTCTGTAACGTTGATGGTATATTTTGATTTAACAATAGGGGGTGTTGTTATATTAACATAACTTCGATTATCTTCAGCAGGAATTTCTTTATGTATCTTTTAAAACAAGAATAATAGTTTTATTAAAAACTATCACTGAAATATTAGGTGTTATCTGTGGTAATATAATGGGATATCATCATAATATAAGTCGATATCGTCACAATATAGGGGGGATATCTTCACAATATAAGGGGATATCATAACAATATAAAGGGCAATACTCACAATATAAAGTAACATACTACTTCTTATTACTCCTCACTAGACCAGGGGCAGATTGGGGGCAGGCTCCCGTGTCGGAGCTGCCCCTTTTACTCATCGCGGCCCCCAGGAAAATTTTGAAAAATGAACCCCAAATATGCGATTTGGTGGCATATCTGATTATAATCACTGTCAAATAATATAGCTCATAAATTGATTAATTTAGGCCAAAATTCTGTAATTTCATCTCTTAAAATAACGAGTTAATAAAAATGTCAAGGAATGTTTAACACCAGCCTCAGGAAATCGTTTCGCACTCATATTCAGCCAACAGACCAGCTATCATCAAATTTTGCTGAGGCCTTAAAATTGAATTTTTTTTGGAGTTACGAACCATCGGCAGACGTTTCTGGCGTATCCGATGAAAATTTCGGATGAAATTCGGAATCCCCATTGCAGGATTCCGAATTACGGCCCACACCCAGCACACCTGGCCCAGAAAGTCTATTATACCAGCCCATTCCAGACTTCAATGATGGCGTGGCGGCCCGTTAAAGCCACCGATCATACAACATGATCATCATCGCTCCATGGCCGGTCCAATATCCCCCCCCCCCAATATAATGTTCAGCAGAAAAAAGTTTTTTAGACGAATTGGACAAAATTATTTTTTTCATTTTTTGTCCGACCGGCCCTGATCGCCCAATCCGCCCCTGCACTAGACATTGTCACAGCTGCCTACAGTACCATGAAATATCAGAATTCATCTATGACATCAGGGAAAATTATCACAATGACATATCAATTGTAAGAATTCACTACAAGGCATTGTCATAGCTTTTCATATCAGAATTTATCTATGACAATTCCACTCGCTGCTAATGCGAAGTCCTGTAGCAACATCTGAAATCACATACCAGTAGTGAATTTAGACTATACTGAAGGGCTTTAGTTCTTGGACATATTTGCCAATCGAATTGATCTGCTGAACTGAATAGGTATCTCAAAGAATTTTCTTAGAGAACCATAAAAATAACAAATTGATTTGGTAAAAAAAAGTTGCGACATTGGCCGAGCGACAGTGCCCTGTCATTACCTTATTTCACAGTGATATTGTGTACAATGACCATTAAAAGTAATATAACCAAATAAAGCACCTGACACAGACATTATCAGGCACAAATTCTGGTTTTGTCAGGCACAACCACTCTGCCTGCCATTATGTCAGGCACAGATTTGTCTTCATTTCATTTTTTTATTGATACTTTATTTATGTCCGGTATTAGTTTAAATAGTGCCTGACATTGGTCAAGTACATCTAAAGTAATTACTCCCAGACCTGAATACAACTATTCTAAAATTTATAATGATTTATATTTTTCAGTATAAATTTAACAAGTAATATTTTACCACTTGGTCATTTTTCTTCCATTGAAGGGTAGGTATAGGTATTCCAGCAGCTTCACATGTTAATGTTAACATTGTACCATACTCTAGTACTTTATCTGTTGTAAAGTCTATGATTTCAGCAGGAACTGTTAATGAAATGAAAAACAAATTAAAACCACTTAATGTCATTTGAGGGATTGGGGAAACCATTGTGTTATGGTTGAAATTCTAAATGGAATATTTTTAGTCTGATAATGGTACAGTTTTTTTCAGTGTTTAAAAAGATAGGATGAATTGAAACTTTGTCAACATTCAGCATCCTCTGAACATGATAAAATAGAGATATGGTCAAAACCCAATGTCACCTATGATCTTCACTAAAATCTTTTGGTGGACATCTTTTTAAACCGACTACATCCAAACCAGGATATAATGTACCATTGATATTTTGATTTTAACAATCAGTTTGAGTACATTTTAACATGGATTCAGTTTCTAAAATTTGCAAATGATGTACAAAGGTTATAAAGCTCCATAACAATGTTCTAACATATAAAAAAAATGGTGTTGTTGACCCCAATGTTATAATGATAAATGGTTTAGCAAATGCTAGACAATATTAGGATGTGGCAGAAAACGCAACCTTTCCCCTCACACTTACAGTTTTATCAATTTAAGTTTTATGGGTATTTTTTGAAGTTTCAGGGGACTAACTTTAATTGTGCTAAAATAAAAACATTTTTCACTGATGTCACAAGGGTGCTGGAAGCACAGGGGCAGCAGCTTTCCCAGCTCTTCCCCTGCTCTGGGGTATCACCCAATTGGCGCCCTTGACTGTCTCTGTGATTAGAACATTAGAAAAAGGCCCTAAGCTGGTTTGGTCGCCACCTATGGGTTGCTTATAATATTCTTCCCAAATGTGAAATCATAAGTTTCTAAATACAGTTATCCAGTTTAGAGACTGTCATGCACTACCGGGAAATGTCCAACATGACAGATTTTGTCCATTTTTTTTGTCTGATTTCTAGCGTTTATAATACGTTTTATAACAACTTTTAATAGTGCCATGTGTAACTGTGTTTGAAATTGATTACCTCTAAAAAAATATATAATATAATTACCATGAACAGTTAATGTGACAGTTTTAGAATTAACAGGGGGGTCTTTTTGATTTTCTGCTCGACATCTGTACTCTCCTCTATCTATGACATCAACATCAGTAAAGCGTAAATGACCAGATACTCTAGTTATTCTATAATTAGTTCCTTCTCGATACATTTCTTTGTTATTGTGGAACCACTTTATTCTAGGGGGTGGATCTCCTTTAGCTTTACAGTGAAATGAGAATCGGTGATGTTGTAGTACAGTACCAGTGGAAGGTTGCCTGGTAATTTTTAGCCCTGTAAAACATCAAAATTAAACACATGAGTATATTTAATTTATATACAAATTTCAATACCAAATGATCAATAATGGCTCTGATGCAGCAGAAGAGATTGGAGAAAACACTAAAATATTTTGAAATATTTTGCCTTAATAGTTTGTAGACCTCTGGGCTACAGGTACTGTGAAGCCCCTAGTATGTTTACTACAAATACACTTCCTTGAACCCTTTATAAGTTGAGGGGGGGGGGGTGGATGGCTGAATGGTTAACACGCGTGCGCTGTATCATATGGTCTGTCATTGAGTCAACTGGTGGGGTTTCGATTCCCCGGTTGTACATGACAAGGAGTAGGGTCGCCTGTCCAACCTCGTGGGTTTTCTCTGGGTCCTCCGGTTTCCTCCCACTGCTAAAGACCCCTACGAGCAAGCGAATTATTGAAATAAAAAAACTAAACCATATGTTAGTCCCAAAATGACCTAGTATGTGTTGAGTGGACGTTAAACCCCATTTCTCTCCCTCTCTCTTTTTAAGTTGATAGTTTAGAGTTCCTATGTCCTATACTTTGATTCAGCAATAGGAAATGAAATAACATTTCACTTAATCTCTGGAGGTCCTCCAGCCCAGAAAGTCCATGTTATAATCCTGTCCTTTAAATATATAATTACAATGATATAGTTGCACAAGACATTGACATATTGAGATGTCTGAAATAGAATTCTTGTTTTATTTCACAAGAAATTGTGGAACATGGTGACCTTACAGGATTCTATGATTAGGAGGGCTGTAAAAGTTTGGTCAAAATTTATTGATGAAAATAGCATATACTAGGTGAAAGTGTATTGTTTTTGACTGAAAGAGTTTCAGACTACATTTAATAAAGCAAAGGTGGAATAAGTGGAAGAAGAGAATAGTGAAGAGTCAACAGCATGTCATGGAACCTGGTCAAAATACAAAATGTTTTTAGTAAGAAAACTAACATTGATCTGGTTTTATGGATCCATATAGCAAAATATGTATCACACATCACAAAACAATCATCACACTTCTTCATCTTTACTACATAATTTATAGGAATAACAGAAATCCTCAATGCTTCTTCATATTTACTAAATAATCTATAGGAATAACAAAAATTGTCACCCCGCCCCACCTCCGGTATCTGAAAATATTGATGAAAAATTCTAAAAGAGCTCTAATATTTAAAGGAAATTCACACAGATAAAATAGAACAGGCTAGAATCATATGATATGAAGTTCAGTTAACGATTTCTAACTGAATATAAATGTCATAAACAGTCATTTCCCACGTCAAATTCTAATACGTCATCCACCAAAACACTGTAAACCTGTTAACCCTTCAAGAGTTATGCCCCATTATTTTAGTTAGTTTATGTTGAACACAAGAACACAAACTGTATTCAGTCAAACGTAACAAATCCTGTTTGAAACAGTTTGTACAAATACTATGTACATGTATGTAACATGCATTTTTTTCATTAAGTTAAAGGGCTAATCCTGATAATTTTTTGAAGAATAAAACTGTTTAATTTTGTTTTAAAATCCCTTAAAATCCTCTACCTAAAGGCCGAGCAACTAACTCAATATTTGTGATAAGTTTTCAAATAACTGAAACCCGTCAGTCTTCATCTGGAAATGGAGACTGGTGTCCCAAGCTGTATTATGCGTGTCTAGATAAAACCAGACATTTTTTTGTATAAAAATAATGTGTAGGTGAAATTTACCTTTCATTATCAAGTACAGCATTTGGGTCATTCACTGTATTGACCTCTCAATGAACGGGAATCGATTATCAGGTCTCCCAACGAAAAAATTGACCCGAAATCTTAAAAGGGTTACGTGTCCGGATAAGCAGTTTTGACGGTCACGTCCAAACGACTCAATATTTTGAGCTGAAATTTTGAGATACGGTCAATACACCATTCCTCTATATTTTGGCGTTTAAATTTCATACATACTCAGACTTTTATTTTTGAGACTCTATTCAAATAAGGAATAGTCCCTTTAAGTCAAATCATTCATATGGAGTTTCATCCTAGAAACTCTTAATAAAAGCTCTCTGTTCACTGGTTTCCAACTAAATATGGAAAACTATCAGTAATCTCAAATTTGTGATTGTCTCATCCCTTCTCCAATGACACTACATTAAATGACATCTATTTATTTATTCTAAAAAAAACACACAAAAAACAAGCTTGATGAAATTCATATCAGCTAAACATTTTTGAATTTTGATAGATTAAAATGCTCTTTTTGTTCTGATTGTATAAAAACAGACGTACACATAAGAACTTAAATTCTCGTGTCAGACATATTTTAAATTCTATAACATATCTACCTACATGCCTGTCATGTTTACATAATCCCATATATCTCCAAATTTAGAAATATGTCAGGAATGAAACTAATATTTTCATTTTTCATAGTAGATTGAAATTAAATGTATTTCTCATTAAAATAGTTAGTAAAAGTGTGTACAGTCAAGCCTTCCACAATACAAAGAACCACTTGATAAATGTATAGGTGGCTATAATAATATAAGTTATCATAGCTTACTGGTCTTCTAAAATATGTCAGGTATGTCAACCACTGAATAGGATTACCATGTAATGTAATACATAATAAGTGTGATTGTCTTCATTGGTATTTACCTATCTGATTACACATTATCCTGATTTGTGTAGTTTACAAAGGAGTTCATTAAAGTTAGTCATACAGAAATGTAAGCCTGACCAGTGTGGGTGGTAGAATATCATATATATTTACCTCATAGGTGTCCCTTATTTAAAGGGGTGGTAGAATATCATATATATTTACCTCATAGGTGTCCCTTATTTAAAGGGTATGCACAATTCTAGTTCAAGTTGTTTTTATCACAAGAATATTTCCACCAAAATGGGCAAATGAAAGGCTAGAACCTGTTGCTGGTGTGAAGACATTTTAAATTATGTTTTGTGTTTTAAACTTTAAATTATTACAAAACACTTGCCTGCATTCTAGATAATTTAGATATAATCTCTAGTCCTAACTAGTCCATACCCTATAGAAAACTGGAGAGATAAAGTAATGAAGGACAAGAAGGAATTTTACACCAAGGCTTTTAGACATGAGTCTGCCGGGTTGATTATGTAAAAGTATAAAATTTGCAAAAGAATATAGGGTGAAATCTTACGGGTTTCCTCTGATGAACACCTGTTGTTATTATGAGCAGATAGAGAATTTGAAATGTGTTCTTTCAGTTACCAATATATATATGACAATTAACTACCACTCACTATGTTTACTATAATTATAGTAAGGTGAATAAAGTTCTGAAAGACTTCAGAGCTGTCCTTCCCATACATGTAGCTTCACTCATTATACCCCTGATTTCATAAGCCCGGTTGGTGCAGAAAAGTAGGATGTTATGTCCTATTTCATTTCATTTCCACTCATAACATTTACTTTATATACAAAATAGGATTCAAAGCTGTACCTACGTTACTAGTAAATGTCATCATACCAAATGGTATACTCACATGCCCTCCTTTCCTTAGTAGAAAAATCAAGCGATTTGGGGCTCAAATTATGGATCTGGGTTTTAATTCCACTCCAATACTAATAAATGTCCTCATACCAAATGGTATTCATAACTAAAAAAATAACTACGGGTGGAGTAGGAGTGCCGATCCCGCAACCCCTCCTTCCCTTTGGTGATTCAAGACTCAAATTATTGATCTGGGGTTTAATGTGCACTAAATACAAACTAGGTGATTTCGGGACTAACATGAGGTACAATTTTATTTTAGCAGTGATAGGATATTACAGGATGCGGAGTAAATAAACCCATGAAGTTAGGCAGGTGACTGAACTCTTTGTCATGTACACCCATAGGATCGAGAGAAGGTCTACACCACTTGACTTAATGACAGACCATATACATGTATGTGCATCATTTGGTACCACCCGCCCCACCCTGCACTAAATCCACAAAATATAATAATAGTCAAAGCGGAGAAAAGACTGGAATAATCAAGATTTTTTTTTTTTAATAGTTATCTTACTTCTGATATCTTTGAACAATATTCTGTACAGTGAGGCAGTGCATGTATCAGATTGTTCAGAAACACATTATAGTTACTAATACAAAACAAAACATAACATGATATTAAATGATTATCTGTTAGAATTATTGACACACTATCATATTCAAATTGGTATCATGCCAACTCAATGAGGAACTAAATGATTGACATATAAAATAAATCTTCAACATGACCCTGACACAAGCATCTTCATATATATACTATATCAATCAAACGGTGAAATCGGCTCCACTGTTGAAAACTATGAGAGCAACTTGATAGTATCTTATTTGAGCTATGGCTATAGGTTGTTGTACTAAGGATTTTGTTATCATCTAACTAATGAGTTTACAACTCAATCAAAACAATGTCATATGACTGATGTTAATACTGTAAACAGACTAATTGTTATTCTTCTGTCTACATCAGTATTATTCATTTCATTTTAAACATCATTTTCCAGACAAAACAATATCAATGAGGGCTCTTTCGCTACATATGTGTGTATATCAAGAGGCAGTATTCAATACTAATAACTATAGCCTATTATGCTAATTCAATTTTTCAGAATTAGTCTTTCTTGAGCCATCTTTTTCCATACAAAAAAATGTGATAACAAGATTCACAAAACAAAATGAGAGCCACAGTGGCTCTGTGAGTGTGGCACTGGTGCACTAAACAGGAGGTCCTGAGTTCAATAACAGTATGTGTTGGCTGAATAAGTTCAGCGGTGCAGGATGGAGGGCCTGACAAGGTAAAAGAGTCTAATCATTTGGATGGAATGATAAGCCAAGGTTTACCCATGTGGACATAATAGAACACTTGACTTGGAACTCAGTGACGTGGCAATGCAACTGTGCGGGCATAAATTTCCCTTACAACACACTGGATGATGCTTTTCCCTTCTTTGTTAGCCCAGAAATACAGGACATT